CGTAGCAGCAATTACAAGCAGCGCCTCCCTGCAGGCAGGGGACTTTGCCGATGAAGGCGTGATTCTACGGCGAGTGATGGAGATCGAAAAAACACGTGCAAAGAGACGCTAGACTCGACGGCGACGAAGCCCGATTCCCCATCCCAGCGTGCTAAAAGATCATGCAGTGGCGCAGCTTTTGACCACTGCGTGCTTGAGCTTCTCAGCTTTCCTCAGCACCACTCAACATTAGCACGGCTTTGATCAGCTTCCATACCAAACATCTTTTAGTTCTAGAGTTTCGAGAGGCCACAGCCCTACGCAAGTCAGTCACCTGATGCGGATCCCGAATATGAAAACACCTAAGCTGGTTTGTTCAAAAATGTATGGATCCTCGGGCCATCTACCCCCAGCTCAGACAAAGCCAACAACTGGCAAGCATGGGATCGTGCACATAATAACAAAAACAACTTAACTAAAAAAGAGATGAGGTTCTCACAGGCCGCCACTGCAACATTAAATGCCGACTCGTCAGCAAGCAGCCGCCGGCCTGTCCAAGACAGTTTTCACGGGTTTGTGAGGCGTATAATGGCGTATAGCCTCTAGGGTCGATGCCCGGAGAGGAGACAGCAAACGCTGTTGCAAGGCTTGGGATGCTAGGGCTCATTAACTCCGCCATACATCTCGACACAAGTCAAATGCCATAGAAACACATTCGACTCAGCGCAAGCATCTCAATGGCAAATACAAGAAAACCACAACTAGCAAAACCCAGCTTCCTTTCCTGCAGTGCGTTCGAAGCAAGCATGAGCATATGCATCCGTGACTTGGTTTGCTGGTTCTGGTCTCCAGAAAACTGCAAGCCACCCCCTTCAAAGGAACTAGGATGATGAACCTCCTGGAACAACTTTCAGGTTTGTGAAATATTTACATCTAATTTCATATCATACCAGTCCCGATTCACTACGGACTCCCAGATCCGAAGTATCTCCGACCTTGACCCGGGGTTCTGCGCCTTCCATCGATGCGAAAAGCTGTAAGGCACGTGCAACTTCTGAGCTTCGCCCACAAGCATCCACAGCAGCCTGGGGTGGTCGCGAAATGTTCGAAAACATGGGATGACGCCTTTCTGCGAAAAGAGAGCGCGCAGTCCGGGGGATTTTCCGTGAAACTCCAATCTCCGAAATATTGTAGCAGAGCACCAGCTGCCTCTTGTGCGGTCGACTCAAAATTCAAAACCTGAACGACCCTAGAGCTTGATAGCATCGCGAACCTTCCGTCCGTCAACAGCCAGTGCGAGTTTGAGGGACTGTATGCGCAAAGATGTCATCCTCGATGCGAGCGAGTCTGAAGTCTTCCTGCACTAGCTGGGGATTACCATGCGCTGGTGACGGCACCCTAAACGGCGGTAGACCCTGTGTTATACCTCGATGTGGAGATGCATCATAGACCATTCAATTCGATTCCTCAGAGTGGTCCTGTTTTGATAAGGACCCCTGACGCCGAAGTATTTCTTCCTTGTTAATATCGCGACAAAGTATGCTTGCCTGACTGAGCTGCTTAAAGCGACTGCATCTCTCTCTCTGTTAAGTGCACAGAGGACACGAGAAGGCGAAGAATGCGGAGCTGTTCCATAGCATGGCTGCCCCAAGCCAGAGAGAGAGGGAGAGCGAGACAGAGAGAGACCGGCAGAGAGGCAGAGAGAGAGAGAGAGAGAGCGCAGCGAGGGAGGGAGGGAGGGAGGGGGAGGGAGCAAGAGAGAGAGAGAGAAACAGAGTGAGAGGGGGAGAGAGGGAGAGAGAGTTGAGTGTCAGTGAGCCATAGACCCACAGAGAAGGACGAAGCAAGCAGGCACAGCTGCTCCAGCAGTTGGACTGATGTGGCCCACTGGCTGCTTCTGCTGGACCTTGGTAGACTGGCAAAGCATGCGTAGCTTGCATGGTGCGCCTCAGGTCTGAGAAGCAAAGACTTGGGTCTAAACATAGTACAGTGGATTCAACACGTGGGTTCTGAGGGTATGTGTTCTTGCAATGTGGATTCGGAAAATCATGTCCCCACGTGAATTGCACTGTGTGCGCATCCCCCCTCCCCCGCCCCCCGCTGCAGCCCTGCATGCTACACAAATCCTGCGAGAATCAACTTCTTGCTTGCCGAAGGACGCCGTGATCGCGGCATTCAAGCTCCATGCGGATGGCCGCAGGCCATCATCCCTGCGTAGAGCTTGTGCGTAACAGAAGAAGCTATGCTCTGTGTGTGTGTGATCTACCGGTGACATGCAAGCTGTATGTATGGACTGCTTCACACTGCTGGCTGCTGGTATAAACTCGCTGAGCAGTGGCATGCATATAGGACCCGAAGCGTAAGAACTGCGATGACTGCAAGGCAGACTCATTAGTAACAGACTGCACAGGCGTAGCAAGGCAGGCCTTTGAAGCGTAAGGTGACTTAGCATGGCTGCATCGAAGGGTCTCGAGAGTCTCAGAGTCCTGTATCATCTCCCGCAGTCCGCTGGCACGCTTCACTCTCTATAAGACCTCACCCCGTAGGGCTGAAGCGCTTACGAGCTCCGCTCCCGGCGCTAACATGTCAGCAAGGTCCTCACTTGAGTCAGTGTGGTCCAAGCAGAAAAACAGTCAATTCTTTCCTGCACATGGAGAAACTCGTGAAGGAACAGAGGAAAGGTGTTGGGCAAACACACAAGAAACCAGAACTGGAAGCCTCAGAGTCGATAACATCCCAGCGGAATCCACCAGAAACTGCAAAGCTTTGCCTCAAGAGTTCAAGAGCCGGCAGCCACCGCGCACCCTCCTGACATTGTACAGGTCAATTGGATGAGATCCGTCTGCAGCTTTCCTGCAGGGTCCTATGCCCAGCTGAGGGTCTTGTATTTGGAAACTTCACATATCAAGCTTTGCAAACTAGCTGTCACTGCAAAACCAGCGATCCCCCTGTGCTTGGCTTTAAGTCTACAGCAGAAGGTCACACACACACACACACACCTCTGTCTGTCTGCCAAAACTGCAGAGCATCCGCCCCTCCCAATGCTGGGGCCTGGAAGGCGAAGGCTGCGGCACCGACGCTCCGCTCGTTCTGCATCGCAGCCCGGCGATGCAACAGCACGCAAAAGAAGAGCAACAACGTACGAATCAGAACTGCAGCGCTGCTGCGACTAAACACTCCGAGACCAATCACGACAAGCTCTGGGATGCATCGGTTGAACTGAGTAACATCGCCCTGGCTCATGCATTGGTGTATGCGGACCAGACTGGCAGCCAGACCCATGACAATCCTCCGCGCAATCGTGAAGGCTAGACCTCCCTTCCCTCACAGCTGCCGACTCGAGCTTGGGCTCATGTTGGGATCACTGTCACTGGCTTCTCAAACCTAAGGCCCCGCAACACAAAGTCCCTGCCAGCAACATCTGAACTCGCCCCGGTTGGTGATTCCTCAAAACATCCCTTCGGCAGTACTGTTATGTGAAGAAGGCAGCGCCTCCCTTGATAGCGAGGAGCTAGACCTCATTTTGCAGAATGCTGAAATAAGAGGCACCCAAGCAGGCATACATAATTACCATGCCAGTCTGAGCGGGCAACGACAGCATTGATGATCATGCAAACTACCAACATAATTATTACAGTACCTCGTACTGCAAGCAAAGCATGTGCAAGGTACGCGTGACACCTCGCAGCATCCGTCACGTAAGAGACACTGGATACAGCTCTCTACCAGGACCGTGACGAGGAATACTTTACCCAGTATTTTCGTGACCAGGGAGCCAAACACGCATGGCAGTACGCCATTCGCTCGCATCTGCTGCCGCAGTGACTGCCTCAGATGGGTTGAATACGGAGGACTCAGCATGTGAGCCCTAGAAGCCGTTCAGCTTCAAAGCAGGGGCAACGACCTCAGACACTCCCGTCCAAGCGGCGGCTGTGTGAAGTTGCGCGTTCAGCGGTGTGGCGGCAGCTCTGCATCCTGACCGCTATGGCTACGGCGAGCTGAAAATCGCAAAATTCCAAAGCTGCAGGATCCCGGCAGATCGCGGAGGGATTCAGCAGTCAAGTCTGTCATGCTCGGGGTTTCAGAATGTGGAACAGTCATGAACATGTTGGCTGAGGGGCCTTCGTCAGCACCTCTGGAGTTCTGTCCCAGCTTTTCTATGCAACAATGGATCAAGAATTCTGAACCCCGAACCGCCTTCCGATGACAAGTCTCAGACTAGCACGATACAGCAACCTGAATTTCTGGACAAGTCCGGTCCAACATCGTACCTACTGCTCGCACATTTAAAGAGCGCAGATCAACTGGCTGCGGTAGCCTGAAAGAGCACCCAACGCCACTCGCCACCGGGATGACTCCTGCGGAAATGGCCCAATGGCTTCGGGGCATATTGCAGAGCCTATTCTGATGCAAGGATGCCATCATGAACAATGCTTGCCCAGCAGATTTCGCCTTGCCCACGTCCGCGACTGTTGCCCAAGATATTTCATCAGGCTCCTTGGATGCAGGCATCACAAATTCGAGGCATTTCACGGCCAGCAACTCACCCCTTGAAGCCGAACTCGTTCCTGCAACAGTGCACGAGCAAACTGACATACGCAGTGACTGGGGCGAAGTTAGTCAAGTACTCCTCAAAAAATACTTTTCTGCTGACACAGCTCACACGACGATACGACTCCTGCAGCTCACAAACGTCACAAACACATCCTCAAAGCCAGCCCCAAGCCCCTTCGAGAACTTGACCCTTTAACCGCCACATTCTTCGGAAGGACTAACCCTAAAGCCCAAAAGCCCTGAGCCCCGGGACTGTACACATACGCAGCGTGCTGCATCGACATGAACAGTACTGCTCAGCACTGAAAGGCTGTGACCTGCACACCCACACGAGCTCTGTAGCTGCCCTGTTTACAGCCACGACAGCATCATCATGATGTGTTCGGCATGCAGTCGCTGCCAACAGTACGCCTTGCACGCGCATGCGCAAAGCCTGCAACTTGTGCCTACCCAGCCCCTGCAAGCTCTCACGTCCGCGTGGCCACGTGTTCCAAAGCCATCGTAGCCTTGGTTTGTGATCTTATAGCCGCAGCCTACGAGTGCCTCATCAATGGAGGGCGCATGGCCAACAGGAGCTGCGGCGGGCAATAGTCATGTTAGAATCCGGCGAAATCTTCACCGCGTGCGCGCACCCAGAGAAGGTAGCTGGTAGCACTTGACAGAAGCTCGGAATCCGAGCAGAAATGAAGTAGCTCACACACCAAACCACATGCACCTCAACTTCATGAACGCATTTCCGCCTTTGCAATGTGAGCTATTCCGAAGCAAAGTCGAAACTTTCGTCTGTCGCAGGCCGGAAGCCAGAAGTTCGCAAGCCAAGCGCCACTGCTCCGCCTTGGCCAGGAGGCTCAGAAGCATGTTGCCTCGGCGGTGCATCGACGTAACGTCAGCTTTCCGAAAGTTAGGGGTCTCTCATGGGCCCTCATAATGAAGATCCTCTTATTTCGGGTGGACATCTGTACCCCCTCATGTCAGAAACTCCTGTCGAGACTCAGATAGGCCGTCTAAGTCCAGCTGTCGCTAAGATGTGCACGAGAGCGATAAGATGCGATAAGTACGTCTGAAAGTGCCTGAGAAACCTTCACAGCGGTGATTCAGATGCACTACTAAAGGCATAGAAGGAAACTTGCACTGCCTGTTCTCAGAGTCTCAGTCAATGCCAAAGGCCTTAAAGAACAACTCCCTGCAAGTCGCAGTGTGCGCTTCTCCAAGGTATTGCAGCTATGCAGCAGAACAGTAGGTCTGTCTGGATTGTCTGGGTGGCCATCCTGCATGTCTCACATGAGTGACTGCATAGCAGCATACTACGGGAACATATCTAAATAACCTTGGGGGCTTTAGTGAGTATCGGAAGGACAAGGTTGAACGTGACCTTGTTCCCAAGTTGCTGCCGTTTCGCTAGGCCGCTGGAAGGCTTTGCCAAAATCCGACAGATAGAAATTCAAGCTACTCAGTATGCTTGCTCTACACATACATCTCCACGTAGGCACGTTCATTCTATGTGTTTGTTTATCTAACTTTATTGCCTCTATGCAGTTGTTGTTTTATTTGACTTGTTCATGCTAGCACAGCTGCACAAACAGATGTACCTCTCTCTCTCTCTCTCTGTAAATCAATAAATATAGCTGTAAATATATACATATATATGTATGTAGAGATATGTGTATATCTACATATTATATATATATATATATCTATCTATATATATATATATACGCACATGCACATACGTCGATAACTTCCCAATACTTCAACCCGTGTCCAGACACACACCCGACGACACAAGCACTCTCCTTGCGATAGCACCATTAAAGGCAGGAAATCTTCACTCCGAAAAGTCGAAGCAGCAACAGCACCAAAGCCCCCTTTGAAAGCCGTGGAAATGGCAGCCAACTCGGACTAACAGTCTGGGAGGATGGTCAGCAGACCACTGGCGATAGTCACTTCTGGAGATGTGAAAGCTTCACAGCAGTGACAAGACCTAGACAGACGAGAAGGCTAGAAGCATCAGCATTAAGAACACCGATCACCCCTGACCTCTCCATGACCGCGAGGGCGCAGGGCCAAGCATCACTCCACCGACCTAAGAAGAAGGGTGCTACCTTGGGCCTACCCTTTTTTAAAACCCCTGGAGTGAGTTGAGCTTGAGGTTGTCGGCTTACAGAAGCTGAAGGTCCCAAGATTCAGGATCTTCCGAGTGCATCGTTCGGCTTTGAGCTCGAGCGTTTCGTGGTCACGCTGAGTCGCAGGCAGGCTCGAACGGCAGATGCGTAGCTGACAATGTTCGGCATAATGTTCCTGAGGAGCTCGGGAGTTTTAGGGTGCAAGCTTCCTGCCGATGACAGGGACGTGCGAAGCTCACGCTTGATTTAAGCATGATTGCTTAACCGTTGATCTGTCTGACTTCCCGTATCAGCAATTTCTTGGAGCTCAGTCACCAGCATCACAAACACTGATTTTGGATTGCATGGCCTCCAATTTGCCTGTGTAGACGGCAAGGTCTCCAAAGGATACAAGCTTGAATTGAAGCATTGACTGCTGTTCGACGGGATGCTACAGCCAATAACGGAACTCTGTATGTGCATGTATGTGTGCACGCATGCATGTACGTACGTGTGTACGTGTGGTACTTGTGAATTTATGTATGTAGGCGGGTATAGGGGCAGGTAGTTGCGCCGGTCTTTCTTTGCATGGCGGTTGTTTGGCAATTACCTGCTGAAAAATTTGCTCACCACAAACAGACCGCAAGAGAAATACGAAACTCAAACGCGCAAGTGCCCTCAGGCATTCGGTCCTGAAGCCTACCAACCCTTCAGCCCGCAAGGCCCACGAACTATGAAACTGTCCCACCAAGAGTCCAGGCAGACATGTCGTCCAACAGAGCAATGGACCACTGCCACTCGCTGCAGACCTCGCCTGAATCTGGAATCCCAATTCAGTGATGCTTGTGGTAGCAACTCGTGAGTACCAGTTCTGGCGCTTGTGGCGATGGTTATCTTCATAGCTTTAACGACAGTGTTGGGAATGGGATGCAACGATGCCCGTCCTGTCAACGATAAAGTTGGCTGTACTCTCCAGTCTGCAAACATCGCACCACCTGTATAAAGTGACTTAGAGAAGGCCGCACATCAACATCGGACCAGTGACAGGCTCGGATTGCCGAGGTCCAGGTGATCTCATCTGACTGGACCTGCCCAAGGCCTAGCCCACACCGCATTACTGAAAATACCCTCCAAAAACCTCGACTTGACCTGGGGTTTCGACTCTGCTTGACTTGACAACAAATGTTTCTAGTAAACGTCGGCAAGAAGAGCAAGGCACAGAAATGACTACCTACTGCCATCGCGAGAATCTCCCAGGAACAGCACACATTCGCCAGTACATTTGAGCCCGGATTCCCGCAAGCCTCGAGCTGCGCCAGCCCGGAGAGAATGCTGAGAGCTCGCTGCCACTGGCCAGAGGAACTGCAGGCGGTTTTTGGGTTGGGCACATAAACTATATAAAAAGCTTGCTGACCTCAAAATACGAGCGGATGTCAAGGGTGTTTGTCAAACGAAGTGCGGTTTCGGTGCCTTTACACCATGGAAGTCGCGAGATGCCTGCGTCATGTTCCTTTTAGATCTTTTGTTTTTGCCGTGTCCGATGACAATGGCAGCAGTGGAATCTATGGAATGATTGATCCTGGCAGGTTTGGCTTTGATATTCAGAGATCCTCTCATCCCCACACTAAGGGTGAGAGCATTTCGCAACTCTTTTGCTGGCTCCCGGTCCTGGCCATGGCATCCACCAAGGAGTTGCACGTGACCTTGGCTTCGTCAAGAGAAAAACAGACAAAAAAGAGATAAAGCGGGAGAGAGAGAGAGAGAGTGACAACGACGCAACAAGGGAGAGGCACGCCAGAAGCAAACGTAGCACATGCACAAACCCGGGCATCGTCAAGCACAGCACTGCAGGCAAACTGCAGCAACGCTTTGAAGCAAGGTCCAAATACGTGCACAGAGAGAAATACAAGTAGAAATGGTTGCCAGGCCGTAGCTTGGCTGCGCGCCAGAGCCCAAAGATGTCCAAGCGCGAGACTCTCACCCCTGCGAAATCATGGATCCCTAAAAACTTCAAACTGAGCCATAATTCGCAATTGCGCACCCTGCCCCAAAGCCTGAAGCTAAGCAGTGAAAACGTGTCTCTGGGGCAAGCACAGTGTTCGGCTGCACCGCAGCTGCCCTCATGGCTTGAAGTGTTGCCAACGCTGCCTGGAGGGTCCCTAGCTTTCGCAGCCGTGGCCCGTAGCCGTCGACTAGCAGTAGTCATGGACTTGACTAACAGTATAAACGGGAGAATAACAAGAAATAGAAGAAGCAGCGGCAGCACCATTACGATCAACAGCAGCAGTCGTCGGCTCAGTCCGTGCCGTCATCTCAGCAGGGGTAGTGGGTGCAGTGCTACCCCCATGTGCCTGATTTTCAGCAGACTTCCACAAAGTAAGTTGGCTTCTGAGTTTAAGCCCTGCAATAAAAAACGCCACCGCTTCTCGTCCTAACTTTTGTGAGGCTCCAGTCGCCCTTCTGAATACTCCCATGCTGCTCTGCACAAGACAACAACCATTGTCCCAGATTCACAGTCTCCAATCAGACCCTGGCCTGCCAGTGAGCAGCTTTCGCACAGGCCCCAATGACGGAAGTGTAGGCAAACCTTCATTGCATCGGAATGTCAGGGCTCCCGACGTCGGGCTCTGACATAAGCGAACATGAAATCAATCTGAATCTGGCCCGGGATTCTCCACAGAACAACAGCTGTAGCTTCAGGAAGGCCCTGGGCAGGTCCGAAACCTGAACTGCCGAAAGATTCAACAATCCCACCCGCTCCAGGCGGCTGCAATGATTTTGCTTTGTCTCTGTAGCTGGTTATGCTCCGTCCGTTCGCCGTCGTGCAAGTGATTACTGCTTACGTTCGACAGACAGCTGCAACTCAATAAATAGATACAGATGAACCAACGAACCAACAAATCAATATTACATGAGCAAAGAAGTATGTATGTACACATGTATTGCATGTGTGTGTATGTGTATATATATATATATATATATATATATATAGCATATGTACACATATTTCTCGACGTATGTCTCTCGATATATAAATAATTGCTGTTTGCTTCATATGATATGTATAAATGTATACGTACTTATCTGCCTTCACGTTCGTGTTTGAATGATGTAGGTACTTGTATGTACAGTACAGTTGCATTGACACGCACACATACATAGATGGCCCAACCAGACAAAGTCCAGAAATGCACCGCAATCTAAACATGATTAGCAGAGCTGCACATCAGCGGCGCTCGCATCCAAAAGGAGCGTCAGAGCCAGTTGCCAGCAGCTTCCCTCCTGCAAACAGAGTTTTTGCTGCCACCACGTTGCAGAAGCACTCAAAATCACCCTGCCGGTTTATGCTCTTGTTGCATTAGACGGGGTCAGGAGAAGGTATTTAAGTCTCTCAACTTGCAAACTAGCGGCAGAGCTCGGAACCAAAATGCGAACGGCCCGTGGCGAGCACAATTTGAGGAACGTCATGGGTTGAATGTCAGACTGCAAACGCGACGGCCGTCCACCGAAAACGAAAACCGCAGAACGCGAACGTTACTGCGACGAGAGCACCATGCACCATTTCGGACTTCAGAACACTGAACTAACTCCGGAACCCCATGACGGCGATGCATTCGAGACCAGGCCGAATAGCTTGGCGCTGCCCCGACTGTAGAGCCCACCGGCGAGTTTAAATGCAAAATACTGTACTTTGGCGTGATGAGGGTTTGCGCACCACATCTCGAACGGCACTGTTTCCAGAGCATTTTGCGAAGTGCGGCCAGAGGCTAGAACCAGACTTTCGAGAGTGTGCCGCCCCCGACTGATCGCTGTACGCGACTGTGAAGCCATCGACTTCGCAAGCTCTCAGCCTCAATCCGTTCACTGGGACGTGGCACTCTGCAGGAGTCCTCGCAAGCTGCCAGGCCGAGGTTCTGTGTCCTTTCTTGGAAGTCTGGCGACCTGCTGTGGACTGGCAGAGGGTCAGGGAGCCTGGCTTTGCCAGTTGCGGATCCGTAAAGTTTATAGGGTGCATGCTGGAGTTACCTTTGCAATTTTGAGTTTTCTACGACCAGTGACTACAACTCCGACGACAAAGACTCTTACACTCCTGCCACGGCTGCTACCTCTACAGATGCCACTAAGACTGCTGCTGCTACTACTACAACCACTACTGCTACTGTACTACTATTACTACTACTACTACTACTACTACTACTACTACTACTACTACTACTGCTACCCCCGACTCCCACTCCGACTGTGTGACTCACGACTTCTACTACTACCTACTACTACTACTACTTCTACTTCTACTACTACTACTACTACTACTACTACTACTAACTACTACTACTACTACTACTACTACTGACTACGACTACGACACTACTACGACTACTACTACTACTACTAATACTACTACTACTACTACTACTACTACTACTACTATACTTACTACTACTACTACTACTGCGACTACTACTACTACTACTACTACTACGACTACTACGACTACTACTACTACTACTACTACTACTACTACTACTACTACTACTTTGACTACTACGACTACGACTACTACTTCTTCTACTACTACTACTACTACTACTACTACTATTGCTACTGCTACTGTTACTGCTACTGCTACTGCTACTGCTACTGCGGCTGCGGCTGCGACTGCGACTGCGACTGCTACCGCTACGGCTACTGCGACTGCGACTGCTACTGCTACTGCTACTGCTACTAGTACTACGACTTCGACTTCGACTTCGACTTCTACTTCTACTTCTACGTCTACTTCTACTACTACTGCTTCCTGACCGTTACAAGCTACCTCCCTCCTCCCACTCCTGGTCCTGCTTCTCCTCCTCCACCTACTCCTACTTCCACTGCTGTCCCTGCTCCGACTATGGTAACCGTAACGGTAAGACTACTACTGCTGGCTATGCTACTGCTTCATGCGAACACACTGCTGCCACAACCAACATGTAGCTTCATTAAAACCGCCATCATGGTGAACACCGTCAGCATTGCGGCAAACATGAGCATGGCCACGGATGGACGAAGCAGCAGCATCCGGGACTGCACGCATGGATAAAGACAACGGTTACTTCACGCGCTTCTGTATATCCCTCGCGCAGGTTCCAACACGAAGTGGGCCAATCTCGCGACCAAGACGCCCCAGCTGAAAAATCTGCAGCACACAGCGCCACGCGCCTCAGGAATGCCGCTGACAAATCGAGGCTGCAAGAAAGAAGGTGGTCGCTCATGTGGGTGCTTTAGAAGATCAACAGGCCAGTCGTGCCTCAAAGCTAAAATGTTTGTGGTGCACGTTCTGTGCCGGCTGCCGGAATGCATCGGTACGGTACATACCGTTAATAGGATGCAGCAGGACGCGCTCATCGCGCAAAACCCTATCCGACCCCATCCACGAGTGTCGTGATGGGCACGATATGCAATTGAAGTCTGTTGCAAGCATGTGGATGTGTCCTCAGTTGCCACATACATAGGCCGGTACGTCGATGCATCGATACATACATGCATACATACATGTAGTTTTGCGCTCCACTACCCTGAACCACCCTCTTCTTGTCTTCACGTGCAGAGCGCGCGAGCTGAGTCTCAGCTCCGAAATGCTCTTGCTGCAACATGCAGGTAGCTCGAACCGTGCATAGCATATGCTGCGTATGCCCCTTATATGTATCTAATTCAGTCTATATACACGCATACATGTGCTCATCTCTTGAATTCTGATATGCATCAGTGCATACAGCTCCAGATGTCCATATGCACATGAACATGTGTTCGTGGTAAACACACATACCTAGGCAGATGAAATCTCATGCGAACGAGTACACTTTGGACTCTGTGCTTGAACGTGTATGCACACTCTCTTAGTTCTATGTGCATGGATAGGAATGGTAGCCATCATGTGTGTTTCTGCACATGCTGTGTCGATCTCTTTGCTTGGGAGATCTGCAGGAATGGCTGCTTCCGAAGCTCTGAAAGAAAGAATCTGAACCTTCCCTTTCGTTCCGCCGGCTGAGCCAGGTCACTCCCACGCTGTGCTGCAGCAATGGAGTGAATGTTGGCCATCTCTTGGCTGTAGAGGTTCTGCTGGCACAGGGCCTGGGTATAGTCAGGGGGACGTTGCATCCAAAGTCGGGTCGAGGCTTAAGGCTTAGCCTACTCAGCCTCACCAAAGCCTCGATTCAACACGACATTTGTTTATTCGGGACCTCGCTGTCATGCAAACCTCAAGGACAAGAGCTGCAGGAACCAGCAGCTGGGAAAAGTCCCCTGAATCGTCCAAGAACAACTGGACACATCATCACGTGTTGAACATAAGTTGCTGTGGCTGTCAGCCTGTTGAACAAAACAAATGGCAAATTCTGAAGTCACTATGCGCGAACTTACAACTGCTTCGTCGCGTGTGTGCATGTGTGTCTGTGTGTCTGTGTGTGTGTGTGTGTCTGTCTGCACGTGTGCTTGGCAACAGAGGGCATGTTTTTTGCCCTGTGCCTATCTCGCTTAGTCGTCTTGCAGACCACCAGAGCACTCCCCTAGTTCTATGCCCAGACACACGCCCTAATTCCAGGACTTTGCGCCATTGCCCCGCATTCTCCACAGAGAGTAGAACCTGATCCAAGCAGTCTCTTGGAGACAAATCGTGTGAGGTGTAACGGCAATCAAGCTCAACGGACCATTACGGATTTGGGCTGAGGGGATTAGGCTTTAGCCATCATATCAAGGGTGGAGAAATTCTACATCGAAGCATGCGACGGGAAGATGCATGTTCGAACCGAGAGACTCCCCGGCAGCAGCCGAAATCCGGGATCACCTCGGCTTCGTTTATTGCCCTGGCCTGGAACTTTCGGAGTTACGGCCTGTCGCACCCATCCTGTGAATCGGTTGAAGCTCCCTACATCGAGGAGCTTGATCTTCGCAGATAAAGCTGAACTTACTATACATGCAGGGCCCCGTGTCAGAAAACCAATACCCTGCTGTAAAACTGAAGTGGAGGCTTGAAGTGTTCCACTGCAGCATGCCTCTCGTAGAAGTGCCTATACTCGCTTCGGTCTTGGTCTATCGGACCTTAACTATTAACATACGTTGGGGAAGCCAGAATAGCAATAATGCGAGAGTTGTCGTAGGCCGGAAGGTACTGCGTATGAGGTCAGGAGGTGGGGAGGTACAATTCGAGGCGAGCTGAGGTCGTTCGCTCGGTCGGTATAGGTCGGAGCAGCAGTAGCCGCAGGTCCTCGCGGTCGTTCTCGTCAGTGTCGTCGTCTCCTCGCATCGTCGTCGTCGCAGTATCCGTAGCCGTAGCCGTGGCAGGCTTCCTAGTTTAGTAGTAGTAGTAGTAGTAGTAGTAGTAGTAGTTGTAGTAGTAGTAGTTGTTGTAGTAGTAGTAGTAGTAGTAGTACAGTGACAGGGGAACAGAGCTCCGATATCCGACCAAGAATGTGCGCATCATTTTTTTTTTTTTTTTTGGGGGGGGGGTTGGCAGGGTGAGCAATCCGGGCGCAAGTTTCAAGATTGGCCCCCTGGCCCCCCCCCCCCAAGTGGTGCAAGTCATGCAAGATTGACCAAGACGGGCAAAATCTTGGTCCCAAAGAGCGCGCTTCGTTTCCCAACACATGTAGTAGTAGGAGTAGGGGTAGGCGTAGAAGTAGGGATAGTAGTAGCAGTAGTAGTAGTCGTCGTCGTAGTGGTGGTGGTGCAGTTGCTGGAAGCAGCAGCAGCAGCAGCAGCAGCAGCGGTAATAGAAGGGTTCATACATATGCAAAATGGCCTGCACATCTGTCTGTGCATTTCTGCTGACTCACGTGTGTGTGTGTGTGTGTGTGTGTGTGTATGTATGTATGTATGTATGTATGCATATATATATATGTGGGTGTATATATGCACGCACGTATATATATATATATATATATATATATATATATATATATACGTAGGTATATGTATGTATGTATGTATGTATGTATGTATGTATGTATGTATATATAAATATATGTATACACATATACACATGTCTGCATGCATGTAAAATGCATGAAGGAATGCAGGCATGCATGAATGAATGAATGAATGAATGAATGAATGAGTGAATGAGTGAATGAGTGAATGAGTGAGTGAGTGAATGAATGAATGAATGAATGACAACGTTAATTCATGAACACGCGCGTGCATGCGTGTATGCATGCACGCATGTAAGTTTTTGTGCATGTACACCTGTTTATGCACCGTGTTTGTTTGTATGTATGTATGTATGTATGCACACACGTATGCATGAAAGTGGGTATGCGTATGTGTACGTGTATGTATGTGTAATCATGTACATGTACCTGGATATGTATTTGTGCAAGTGTATGTGTATGTGTCAGTATATGTGTAGATATGTGCATGTGTATGTGCATGTGCACGTGTATGTCTGTGTGTGTGTGTGTGCATGTGTGGGCGCGCATGTCGGCATGTATGGGTGTATGTATGTGCGTGCGCATGTGGGTTCGTATGCACGTGTGTTCGGGTATTTTCGTGTCTATGTGTGTACGTGTGTATGTGCATTCGCATAGGTCCATGTATATGTCAATACACATGGCTTTTTGTTGCTGTACTACACTGATCTTAATACTCATCACAGCACCTCGAAAGAAACGAATGGGTAAGCCCATCAGAAAGGGATGTGGGAACTCAAGAGGGCAAAAGGAGAAGGGCTCAAAATCAAAATACAACGAAGTCAAGAGATGACTCCCCACCTCGAATTGGCATCAACCCTCTTTCGCTGGTTCTGAAAGCATGTCGGAGAGAAAGCAAGGCCGTTCGGAAACACTGGGCCAACAACCCTGCGACAAACCATCGTGTCGAGGAGGCCGGCTGAGGCTCGCCAAGCACCCAGGCCTGGAATCGCAGCTCAGTTGGCCTAAAATGTGCGCCAAATCTTGCACCACGATAGCAATCCCAGGGGCACTCGACGAGACACACACACACACGCACACGCACACACGTGCACACACACACACAAACACACACACACACACACACATATATATATATATATATATATATATATATATATACACATACACGCGGACGGACGCACGGACAGACCCGTGCGCGCACACGCATGCAGACACGCGCGTGCGCGGGCGCAGGATGTTGGATCTCTGCGCGTCTGCTGGGTATGTACCGCCATGTACCAGAACATTGGAACAGTGGAGCGCAGAGGCTGAACAGCAGAAGCTCAAACTCGACCTACTCCTCTGATTCATGGGCCGCTGCAGTGTACTACCGATTGCTGAGGCATGTCAACACCGGAATCACAAATTTACTCAACATCAAAGCCCAAACGGCCCTCAGGCAAGCAGCAGGCGTCAATAGCGGATCCATATGTCACGACGTCGGCACACTGGTGACTCTCCTCAGGAAGAGCTGGCCGGATGAATCCCACAAGTGTCTTCTGACACGAGAGCACCCTGCGCATATGAATTGCGGTCATGCAAGGCTCATGTTCTTATAGATTCCAGCCACTTCTAGTCCTCGCACGTCGCAATTAGTAGAAAGGGAGACAGTAGAAATCTTGAAGGGATACCTAGATTAAACTGGAGCAAACCCTGAATAGCATCACGTAGTCTGGGTGCTGCTGCGCGGATCTTCGCGCTTGCCAGGAATGCATATACGGAGACCGGGGCTCAACGAAACCAAACCGAGTTCTGGGCTACTGTACCTGCATCTCACAAAAGCCTGAATAAGGGCAGACCCGCTCTGAATTCTTGCTCCACAACTCTGCAACTCTGCTGCTTAGCGCTCTCCTCCAACACTGCTAGTGCTGGTTGCCAGAGGGACATCCTGCAACACTGCGCAGATTATAGGCTGTGAGATCACATGGCTTCTATTCTTGTGGGCATACGAACTTGCAAGTCGGGTCTTTATGCTTAGAAGGAGCAGTGACTGGACGGAGCCTTTCGAAATCCGGTTCACAAGCAGCTACAATCGAATATCTCAATTCCGCGGACATTCGAGGCAATGTCACGCAGGCTTCACCTCTGTGGGGCAGGATACTGACATTCTCCTTATTACGCAGTCTGCACTGCTAATAGCTGTGGTGGAGTCATCTTTTGGTCCAAAGCTTGGACGGCTCAGACTTCTTCCAGTTCCGTGCACAGGGAACCTAGCGGCAAGCACCTTCGGGACCCGCCTTGCCAAGACCGAGATGACGGCAGCGTAGGTTACAGTTGTGGGCTGGGCTCCTTCCACATGACCGCACATCGTATGCACCATGCACACACGCACTGTCTGGCAGCTGGGGTCTGCGTATATTGAGGCTCTGATCGAGGGCTTGATGCCTTTTGCAAAACTAGGGTTCTGGGTCGGTGTAGGTGTAGAGTTTTGCTGCTGCGGACACCAGACTTCTGGAGCTGTCAGGTGCTGGAGAACTGTGATAGATGCGAGCCGCTAGCCACTATTGTTAACTGTGCATTCGCGTGCCCATCAGAACAGTGTACAGCCAGTCTGTGCCGATGCAACGAGACAATAAGAAACCTCCAGAACCCCTCAACCAAGCTTGGAACCACATCATCCTCGGCTAGACATGGAGTCGAAGGTGCTCCTGAGTCACAGAGCTCCAGTTGTGGGCATTTCTGGGCATTTGGATGAACAGAACTTGCAGACACGGCTGTGAAGTAGGGCTTCGAATACTCAGCTAAGCGTCTATGCTAGAGGGATCTAGCTATCTAAAGCTTCGGGACATGGACTTCGCGCTTTCAGGGAACTTGTCGGAGCTCTCGCCCCTGCCGGACTGATGGCGGACCTCAAGCAACGAACAGCATCCTTCCGGTGCACCTGTCCAAAAAAGCAAACTTAAACCCTGCAGCGCACCCTGGCCAGACAAAGCCGGCCCTTGTGAGAGGGCCCCGGGCCCTCCAACCCTCAACTGCACTAGGACCAAGTTCGCCGAGTGACCAGTCGCTGCGAAAGCTGCTTTCAGAAGTTGTACAGGTCTCTAGACCGGCATGTTCACAGTGTTTCAACTCACGCCCTTCTCCCACCCACTGTGTTTCCGATCTCTGCATGCTCATCTTGAGTCACGAGCTATGAAGGTCATATGTCTGACAAGAGGTGATCATAGTCCGTGTGTGTCGCCTGCCTGAAGCGTTAAAAAAAGATGCCGCGTTCTCCTGCCCCGGCATTCGCGATACTGCGGAGCCGGTTCTAAATCATCAGTCGCGCGGCGTTGCGTTTGAGAGGGTGAGAGGTGAGACGTTGCAAGATCAGGCACCTGCGCAGCAGGGGCAAGCTGCTGCATAGCCCTTATCGAATTTGGAGCTCCGGCTGCGAGGGTCAAAAAGCCTCAAGCTCTCAATGATATGTGTATACTGAATAAATTGCGACCAGGATCCGTGCGGCGATGCATTAATCTCGCATGTCATGAACATCATCCTGGTAGATGCCTCGCTGGAAAGATGTCTGGGTGTTTGCAAGCATTAGAAGCAGCACCTCCTGAAATTCACTCGAGCGAATCCCCGCCAAGGTCATTGAGGCACAGAGCTTCGTTGTGAAATTCATGGTCAAGTAGAAGGTGCATTCGAAATGCCAAGGAAGAACTCCACGTAGCCTCAGCAGATACACGAGCCCATAGACGCCAAAAACTACTACGAGGGCCACTGCAAGCAGTGGGCGTCCCAAGAGATGTCCATCGGGGTTGTCCTTCCTCCAGAGCTTCACCCACATGATCATGTCCCAGGAAGCCTTGAAGTACATGAGAAAAGACACGGTCACCACAATGTAGCGGACGTAGGCGAGTGCAATGAAGTTGGCACACCACGCCAAGGTCATGTAGACGTTTGTGACGACCAGGGGCATTGAGACCTCGTAGGCTGGACGTCCGAGAGAAATCTGACCCGCCAGGATAATCAAGATTGGCACATTAATCAACCACTCGGCGAAAAAGACGGTGTACACTGGCATGCCATCCAGGTCAGGACTGTCCGATACAGATGCATGTGCGAACCAGGCAGAGCTTCCTGCAAAAAAGCACATGTTTTCCAAGATGAGCACGGCAAAGGTTGTGCAGAGCAGCAAGGACGGAACCAAGGACTCTTTGATGTTGGGGATGAGGCTGAGGGCTTTCTTGGCAGTCCTGTAGGTCAGGATGACGGAGGCAAGCTCGTGCAGGAAAACCGCCGATAATGACGCTGTGATGAGTGCACTGTACGGTGTCAAATCTGATGCCGTTCCGTGCTGGTCTTGGCACTTCTGCACATCGGAGCACAAAGAAGGTCGCAGGATGGCGTAGCACAGGCCAACCACAAGCAAAGTTATGACGACCCAGGAGGTCTTCCGAGTCAGAAGCTGCTTGAGCATGAAACTGTCCGTCACCTTAGCTTTTCTTAAATGCTGATGTGCGCAGCCAGTATCCCTGAGATCCCATGAAGCCCCTAGCCTCTAACCGCTAACCCTATCCAACTAGAATGTGGTCACATGCAAGCGACTTCCTCCTTCACCTCTCGGTGGACAGGACCAACTTTGATGGACTGCAGTGAACTGGCTCCCATTGTCGTCGCTCCCGTGCCATTGTGCGTCAGCCTCTCGCAGCTTGAAGGCTACGGGCGGCTAGACGGTTTGCGTGGAACCAGTTGAGTGTGCGAGTGTTCATGCGAGCTTCGTCGGCTTGGACATGTTGTCGGAGTTTGTTGCAAGCTGAGTGTAGCAACACATGCAAAGCTCGATGGGGAGGGATGCAAGCATTCGTGCAGCGCAGAGGCAGGGGGGCCATGCCGAAATAGTCAGACTGGGGACCAAAGCAGAGAGCATCATAAATGTGCCAGCGGAGATCCCCAAAGAGAGATAGACAATGACCACCGGGAGACCATCAGGAGACCGAGAAGACCACCAGGACTCCCAGGACAGCACCAAGCCGACTACGAGGACACCGCCGAAAGGCTTCCCTCAATACAAACGAATTTGGAGCCACGCCCGGAATGAGTATCAGTGCGAAAGTGCCTTCCTCCAAGTACTGGCGCGTTTCGGGAGCAGCCGACTTTTACTTCCCCTTAGCTTGCGAGATCCAGAGGAACACCCGAAACCGTTTGCCCCAAGTGCTGCTCCGATCCTAGCAGTGCGTGCGTTGGGCGAGTTCTCCACAAAAAACAATAATAATTATTGATAAGAAATACTAACAGACGAAAAATAAGACTAATACTAATATTAAGAATAGCACGTCAGCGAAACTATGCCCCGCACCACAGTGGGAGACGTGCCGTGAGCATCCTGTCAAAACGATGAGACGCTGGGACCCGGTTCGCTGCGTGTGCTGTAAACAAGTCCATGCAGGGAACTCCTTTTCAAGGCGCGCCGCAGCGCGATCACGACAATCTACACTCGCCGCGCTGTATGTCTACAAGAACCCCCATAATTAGTGTTGGCACGCTGTGTGGAATTAAACTGCCCACGCATCTTTCAAACATGTCCTGGATCTGGCCCAAGTCATGCTCGCTGCCAGTTCCCACATCCCAAAGGCTAAAAAAATTGACCCCAACCGGACAACAGGAATTGAACGCAAGAGTCAACAGGGCGAACCGTCCTATTCCTTTCAACCGGCAAACGCTCGACTGACCCCGAAGACCAGAACATCCGCACAATTCAGACCGAACTCCGTAAACCCGCGTCGTACAGTAAGCGTGACGCTTGAAGTTCAAGTAACTACATGAAACTCATAACCAACAAGCTCCACTGACACAATCTCCAGTCGCCTGGCTCTCGATCCTTGGGGTGGGAGCGATCCTTGGGGCGGGAGTGGCAGCCTCAGAATTTTGAGCGGGAATCGGGCCTGTAGCATTCAGGGTTAAGGGTCCGGGGTCCTAGCTGGTTATACAAGCAGAGCGAAAGGCGCATTTGCCAAGTCTTCGCATGGATTAGGTATATTGGTGTCACTGTCAAGGCCTTTGCTTGCAGAACCTCGTGTTCGTATCCTTAGCCGAAGCATCGTCAGAAGAATTAGTAACAAAAGTGCAGTAGTGACAGGAGTGGTAACGCTGGTCCCGTACCTGACATCTCTTGGCACTCAAGCCCGCTGCTTCCGTGTCGAAAGACCCCAACGCTGGTCAAACCTTATAGGGCAACCCTTTTGTTTGGCGCCTTCAATCGTGCAAAGCAACGCCCTGAGCGGCTTAGCTTATGAGGCCGACAAGGAACTCATCTGGCTCATCGCATGGCTGGGGAACGACCGGAGAAACTTTCGCCATGCTTCGGCTTGGGCCGAAACGATCTAAATCAGGAGAATGCACGAGAACGTACTTGCAGCCCCGACACACTATAAGGCAAAGAACTGAAACGAAACATTACAGGCCCCCGTCACCATGGCCTTCAGCTAGAAGTTAAAAAACACCGTCCGAAGCAAAGCATGAAGCAGTTCAACTTGTAGTCCACGTCTGTTTAACGTTTGGGAGCGGGGTGCGACTAAGCTAGGCTCAAGACTCTCGATCGTTGTGGCCCGCTTAGATGCTGGCCAGACAACATGACAAGACTGCTACGAGACGTCAACTACAATTTTGGAAGTATTAATGCAGTAGGCTTTTGCGATTCTTGCGACAAACAAATCCGAAGCGAGAGTCAATGCCAGCTGCCACTGCGATGATTTCGAGCAGCTGGAGACCTGAAGTTCTGAAGGGTTCTCTGGGCTCAGGGCATAGCTGAAACCAAACTCTGTGAAAACCTGCAGAAACGAAACCAGTCGGTGCAGCTGTTGACTTGTGATTGCGCGTATGCAAGCGATCTGTCTGGAAGGGCAAGATGGAAAGAAGAAACCCCGAATAACATGTGCGACAAAAACATGAGTTGTGCTCATGCATCCAGCAGCAACGATGTTGAAGCTCACCGTGTTGGCCAGGCCCTGCCAAGTGCCTCAAGGCTGCACAGAAGGTTTCAAGTTACATGACTGTCAGGTTTCACCATACCAGTCTTGGGGCAGAGGATCTATGGACATAGGGTGTCGTTGAGCATGTCGGAGCACTGCGGTCGAGGACTGTTGTCCATGTTATGCTACATCGCCTTTTTCAAACTCTGGGACCAACTCCTACAAGGGGAAGAACACAAGTGAAACCGTTTGACCGCACAGACATGAGCAAACGTTCTGAGCATTGATGCACCAGGCATCGCGAAGAGCAAGATGGACCATATATTGGTGTTCGGCATTCTCGTTCTCTTCACATGTTATTGATGTTGTGCGAGAAGTTTAGATCTTCAAAGCCGGAATCTGCTGAAGCCTTGGTGCTAAGCCTGGAGGCCTGCGGGCAGCAGCTGATTTGGTGAGTTACAGGTACCCCTGAGTGTGGGGAAGTCAGGGTTAAGTTAAACAGCGGAGGACAGTACCTTGAGGAGCAGAGATTCCACACCAACGTCACAGTGATGACTTCAGTGTCTTGGGACCCATCTCGATCTCGGTGGCAATATGCAGGCTGGCAAGAGAGACAAGACAGGTACTTCGTGCTCTGTTTGTTGGTCAAGCCACGGGCTCTTCCATCCAAAGAGCTGAGGCAGCTTAGGCTGTGAACACTAACGGACAATGAATCCGATGCTCCAGAATACCACCAGTGCGGTCAAATCGCTGAGGATCTCAAGGGCAGCTTCCCACTGCACCGAAGAAGCCTGGATCTAGCTGGCATAGACTTGTACCGGGCAGGGCTGTCTTTTCAAGGACGTTGAACAGGGCACTCTACCTGCAGTCCTTTAAAGAAACGCCTTAGAGAAGGCTCCCTTGCCGAGCTGTCTTTGCGAAAGATCAAAAGCGGCTTTGCCCGGTGCCGGACTGTTGGGGTTTAAAGGGCTGATGCACTGAAAGGTTCAAGAGATTCGTTTGAGCTCTTGAGGATTCCGACTGGCAGAAACCTGATCCGGTTCAGCAAGACTGGCTCGCTCTTATCGCTCATGCAAGCTTGACGAGCACTGAATAGTTGTGCTCAAGGTGCAAGTGAGACCTTGCCTTATGTTTTGGGCATCCTTGACGCCACACCCTAAACAAGCCTCAGAGCGCATCAACACAAACCGCTGCGAGTGAGTGCCAAAAACAGGGAAGTCAGCAGCCTTACAGATAGGTGGAGTAGGACGGCCACGCTGCAGAGAGAATGTTACCCCAGGCCTACAGAGTTGTCGGGTCTACCTCAAGTTGGGCCATACTAGTGGCTAATCATCTTGACAGCATGGGACACTGAGAGCTACCACCAGCTACGATCTTGCCGTGAGCGTGAGGAGGATGGTTCTGACAATACACATGGGGACCGAAAACAGGCATGTGCGAAACAGCATCCGCAGCGACAAGAATGCTGACCAGGCAGCGCAGGCAGACAGGACGGCATTGATGCCTAAGTTGAGCCGAGTCTGTTCAGTTGCAAGGCAGAGGTGGCAAAACCAGTCAGTTCCATTGGTAATTGACGGACTGCATCCTAGAGTCTTCTGAGAAGCCATTCTTTTGAGAAGAAAACACGTCTCGCGATAGGTCAATTTCTGAGCAGGGTGGAGGACCAATGATTAGCATGAAGTCCATAATGGGCCCTGTGGGACTCTGGCGTGTTGAAAACAACTTGTCTTCACACACACACACACACACATCGGACATCTCTGCTCTTACATGTTATGGATCAAGGCTCTTTATCTTCTTCTGGGCGGGCGGCATCTTTCAGTGCCGGGTTTCGAAATCGACTATCTGCAATCTGGCGGTCGTCGCGCCACTATAATCACCCTGCTCTTCGCCTTCCTTCTCCGCCATCCTCCTACCGCTGCTTGGAACAGGTCTGATTGCAAGCCGGGGCTTGATCACTCTGCCCCTCTCCTGGTGCTCCGCCTCGTCCTCCTCGTGGTCCTCCTCGTGGTCCTCCTCCTCCTCCTCCTCTTCCTCCTCGTCCTCCTAGTCCTCCTGCTCCTCACCTCCTCCTCCTCCAACTACAACTACACCTGCCCATAACGATGCTGCTGCAATACTACCACCACCGCATCCAAGTTCAGTTCTCATTGGTGAAGGAGTGAAGGCTAGTCTTACTCTTACTTCCTACTCTACCCTCGTACTCGCTGCTGCTCTACCCTGCCCTGCCCTGCCCTGCCCTGCCCTGCCCTGCCCTGCCCTGCCCTGCCCTGCCCTGCCCTGCCCTGCCCTGCCCTGCCCTGCCCTGCCCTGCCCTGCCCCTGCACACTGCCGTTACCTCTAGCACATGCACTACCACTTCACTAATTGTGCTACTGCTGCTTACTACGACTACTACTACTACTACTACAACTACTACTACTACTACTACTACTACTACTACTACTACTACTACTACTACTACTACTACTACTACTACTACTACTACTACTATTTCTACCACTACTACAACTACCCCTACTACAGCTGCTACCCCTACTACAGCTGCTACCCCTACTACTGCTGCTGCTACTGCAACTGCAACTGCAACTGGTACTGGTACTGGTACTGGTACTGGTACTGGTACTGGTACTGGTACTGGTACTGGTACTGGTACTGGTACTGGTTCTGCTACTGCTACTGCTACTGCTACTGCTACTGCTACTGCTGCTACTGCTACTGCTACTGCTACTGCTACTACTACTACTACTACTACTACTACTACTACTACTACTACGACTGCTACTACTCCACCACGACAACTACTACAACAACTACTCCTGCTGCTGCTGCTGCTCACCACCACCACCACCACCACCACCACACCACCACCACCACCACCACCACCACCACCACCACCCACTACCACAGCTCCACTAACTACAGTATTGCTTGTACAGCCACTGGCATTAGTATGCATTAGTATCACTACTCCAACTACTTACTCCTACCCGGTCCTACCCCTATTCGCATGCTGCTGCTACTGCTTGCTGGGCTGAACATCTTTCATAGTGTTGAATCAACATCTTCGGCCAAGCAGCAGATATCGTTCGAGTGCTCGTCAAGAAGTCGGACAGCCTATCGTGAGGGACATCCAGATTTCCAGCACTAGACTGCGGCAGCATGAGCAAGAAGTCTTACTGGGTCGTGTGTGACAGGATGAGATGCTGAGCGCCGCGGACATCCTGTCCACACTCGACCGGACACTGAATGAGCTCTGCGTTTGTCCTCTAGGACTCTAGGACTCGAACTATCAGCAATAACTTTTCGTTGCTTTGGTCGAGGCTGCCAGTTTTGTGCCGTCGCTTTGCAAACACATCGTGTCCAACGGGCCCTACAGCCGCCCTTTAAATGAGAAAATCCAAGCACAAGTATCTGTGCATCTCAGATCTGGTGCATCTTGCCAAGAGACTGCTTCCCAGGCAACTGCCCTGGCACAAGTGCTGCTGCAGGCCTCTCATTGCAAGAGGATTGTATGGAACGGCTTAATTCTTGTTTCCCTCCGCATTGTATCTACGTCTGCTGGTGATTCGTGGGAATGTGTCGTCACACGCTGACATTGTCAGAGCTGCGGGCCTAGGGTCTAGGCGATGCTCGGAAGCCAAATGAACCAGCAAACATCAACTCACGTCGGCTACCTCACATTGCTTGTAGACTGGGTGTCTGAGATCACGGCACTGCGAGAGATCAGCGAAGGTCGCATTTTCCTTAGATGGTTCGCTCCCTTATGTCAAGTTTGTTGTTTGAACAGGCCCGGTGCCGGATAGGCACCATGCTTGCGCTGGTTCGGAGCACATCGAATGAGCGACCGAGCTTTGTTACACCTACAATACCGCCGGCTGAAGAACACATTCATTTACTCTAGCAGCAAAACAGCTCCTCTGGCAGCAAGCAATGCCCCATAATACTAGTAAATACCCATAGCAGTACAAATAATGGCAGTGGCAACAAGCACAACACCATCTGCGCGACATGAAGGTGTCGGCAGTCGGCACAGTACTCGTGGTGGCGGAAACAGAGAGAGTAGTAGTAGCAGCACTTCATCTGATTGTAGTTGTTGTTGCTGATGTGGCTGTCCTCAGATGGGGAAACACTTTCCCCAAGAAGCAGAAAGCACATCGCAGGGAAAATACCGGATGTGAGAACCTGACTGAACACCAACAGCCCCAACAACAACCCAAAGACCTTGGCTCAATGCTCCTACGGCCGAATTTCCGATCCATATCCCCTAAACGTTACACACCTTGGACAGCTAAAGGCTACTCACCCAATATACATGTAGACATAGTCTCTTTAATGCAAACCCAGTGAACCGACAGAAAACCAAGCCTCAACCGCATAAGTCATGATGTCCAAAATGCGAAGACCACACCTCCAAAACAACAAAGCCCCTAACATTTCAAAACAACCTAAGCCTTGAAGCAAGACTTACATGAAAAACCTTACTTACACCTCTTAATCTGAACAACTGTCCAAGAGTCGTGCAAGCCAAGGTAGAAAGCAGCGACATGGCTTGTTTCCACGTTGTCTCAGCCTCCCAGATTGCTATGACCAAGACTCTTCAACAAGGACTCAGTCTGTGGCCTCTTGCATGCACTACTGTTGCTTTTACGCGCGTAGCCTTACGTCGGGAAGTGTTTCCGAGCGCCAGCTCGCAGTTCTTCAATGCTGCCTCGCCCTGGCAGCAGCTGATGGCCGAGTTGATGGTGATGACATCTCGTCTGGTCTGCCTTGACCGGAACATACCACAGAAGCCTTCATGCTGTTGATTCCCACGACGGACAAATATAGTCAGCTCTCAAACAAACTGATGCAATGTCTTACACCGGAGCGCATGACAGCGGTCAAGAGCTCCATACATCGTGACTCTTGCTGAAGCACTCTCCTACGGCCTAAAAGACCACAGAACGAGTGTGCGCTCCCGAAGTCCGAAGACCCAGATCCTACTCCCCACAAGCCTGTGTACCTTTGAATACCTTCCAGTGGATCGTTCCTGAAGTATGCATGAGAGTCTTTTCAAGTGCCATGGCTCAGTGACTCCATCGCTCGGAGCTGCTCCATGGACTGCCTCCAGTGTTTGTCGCCGCGGAAGCCTTGTCTTTGGCGTTTTCTGTTCGGACTGTTCTTCGGCTTGCAGCCTTTCGCGGAACTGCAGCATGGGGTTTAGATTGTGACTCCCAAGCTCGGAATAACAAAACACAGCGGATGGGGGAACACACGTTACCACAAGTTGTTGCGGACGCCAGGCACCATCCACAAGCCGCGCCTTGAAATTGCAGAGCACGCAGGACTGCATCAAACCACGGTCGAAACACGTGTGACTGAACACCCTCAATTGAGTCGGCAAGATAAGAATAACATCTCCTCCAACATCCCCTCCTGGCCTGGAACGCCTTTTCTTTCCATGTAAGCGAGGATCAAAACGGGTTCCAGCAAGGCACAAACTGTTTGCCCCCGGGTCCCTGCAATCATACACAGCCCCGCTCAAGCACACACACGCACACACACACACACACACACACACACACACACACACTCACACACACTCACACACACACACACACACACACTCACACTCGCACTCACACACACACAACAAACACATCGCATCTCCCGAAACACGCGTACTACAGGGTCCCCTATCGGATGAAGATAGTCGGGTGTGGGCCATAGTGCCGTAAGGCTTTGTATGTTCTGACACTGAGTCGAGCCCGTGACTCAGCAAGCCTCTACGTTGTAACTGCTCCAAGGAGCTGTTCACAGCCGAGTTGAAGGTTACCACCTCTGGTGTAAGCAGGATCGACGCAAGCACCTGCATGTGGCTTGTCGAGAACTATAGAGCTCTTTGCCTTAGCTCGCTCTTGAGATCTTTCCCCGTTGACACGTTGAGAGTCTTTAAACCGTCTCTCCCGAATCGATTCAACATCCCGTGTCGGTCGGGGACGTGTTAAACTGAAACCTCTTTTTGTCCTCAGCATACCAGCGTTCCCAAAAGCAGAATTTTGGATGAAGCTCGTGCAGGCTTTCTATAGGGCCGGCAAAGTCATGGGTCAAGCAAAAATTGGTTGAACGTTGCTTCCTTGATTGCAACGAGTCTTGAGCATCGAGCTGCGTTGTACAGAGCCTTGTTTGTCGTGTACTAACTTCATCTGTATTCTTTGGAGTCGACATATCGTTGGTCGCAAGACTATTACGAGAGGGACGTTTTTGTCAGGTTGTGATGCTGGTCTGCCTAGGTCCCACGGATGCTCCCTGTTCGGGTATCCATGCGAATCCATGCTCACAAGCAGGCTCAGTCAAAGAAAACAGGCTGGGGATGTTTGGCCTCTGAAGCCTGCTCCTTCGGCGAGAATCGTCACAACAGAGCCAGCAATGCACACTGGTACTTTGCTCTGAGCAAACGTCAGCTAGTGCACCAACATATATTTACAACGCATGGCTACTGCCAATCATTAGAGCTCTGCATTTTAGGGCTGCTGTCCTTCCTATCCATCACAGTGTCGCATGCAAACAGGGCATCCCGCTTGTTCTCAGATTGAGGTTACCCTGCAGGTTTGCGAATTGCGGTTCACAAGCAGAAGGTCGTCAAGTCACAAGCCCTCTGTCTGTTGGAAGGAATAATGTGCGACTGTCTTTCGTGTCATGAACCCCTGTCATGCGTTTTTGTCGGCTTATTCATTCTTGTGTAAAACTTTGGGTGACATCTAGAATGCTTCTTTGTTGATCGATTTTTTGTTGGCAGGGGTTTGCTTCGGCTCTTTCTGCTAATGGCCAATCATAATTGAGTAGACGATCAGGAACCCAAACCCCAAACCCAAACCCTGCCACACAGCTCTGGGTACGCTACTGCACTACTACTGCACTGCTACTGTACTACCACTGTACTACTACTGTACTATTGACTACGACTGTACTTCTGTGCTACTAGTGTACTACTAGTGTACTACGGTACTACTATTGTACTACAACAATACTACCACTGTACTACTACTGTACTGCTACTGTACTACTGTACTGCTGCACTGCTGTACTACTGCACCACTACTGCACTACTACTCACCAACTGCACATCCTTCTCAAGAGCCTATCGCCCAGCCCAATCCCCAAACCCTCGTCTACTAAGCTAGTCAAACCCACCCAGACCCCAATCCAAGCCAAGGGGGTCAGGGGGGGTCACGAGCAACAGAGTATTCAGGCCAGCCCCGAACGGTTGGCGGGGGGGGGGGGCACTGAAGATAGTCACACATTACAGGGCGTGCAGTCACTTTCACCACGGCCTGAAGCAGATCGGAAGCTGCACGCCACTTGCCTCAACAGTGTTCGGTCAGCTTCGAGACTAGGACCGTCACGGTTTCCCGAGTGGACTTGAGGTCCTGCTATTCTCACTGCCCTAGCCATGTCGAGTCACACACGTGTTCTAAGCACTGCACCTTCTCGCTGCAGACCGGCCATGGCCCTGTTGATGCTCTTCCTCCGAACTGCAGGCAATCTCTCGCAGCTTGAAGTGTCTGGGCTTGGATAACAAAATGCAAACACCGACGGCCACGAAGGAGGCTTGGTAATCAACAACATTCCTGATGACCGGTTGACAATACTGGCTTGATGATACTATCTACATGTTTGTTTACTGCTACTGGCAATTGACACATCGTTTCAGACCCCGGGGACTGCAAACGGAATACCAGGTCCGACTTAACACCAGCAGCTCCCTGACTCCCCTCTATCGGCTTGCGAAGGGAGGGCAGCAGATGCTCGAACCGGAGATTAGAAGACTAAGGCACATCCTGGCCGCTTCGGCAGCGCCGCTGCCCAGCACCTGGGACGGGGAGACCGAACTCTTCATGACAACAAGCACCGACATGAGGAGTTGGAGAGACAACAATAACAACGGCATCGCGGGTTTGTCAAAAATAAGCCTGTCATGGATTCCTATCCTGGTTTGAAACCTTATGGCTTATGGCTTTGCTTTATTCCTTATTGTTGCACAAGCCCCGAGCTATGCTTATTTATGTTGCAACATTGAGTCATGGACTGAGTCCTTAGGGTCTTATCGAGGACGGGGATTGGAGCCTGGGTACTAGAAGAAGAAGAGATTCTGACAGCAGCCAGTAACAGCAACAGGGCAGGCGGGAAGGGGATTGTAGCAGCAATGAGAGGGAGAAGGAGCTTAAGGAAGGGTTCGAGCAGTGCATTCGCTTTGCACGCATCCATTCGATCAAGGAAGCGTCGCTTTCTGCAAAGATGGTCAAGTGTTCACCAGGCGCAGGTTTTGAGGCCAAACCTTACCGTCTGGGTTATCGTTTCGGTTATTGGTTAATGCACCAATTGCCACAATGAGTTTTGGTTCGGATATATCCTCTTGCCACACCTAGAAGCTGGAGGCACAGGTCTCGAATGCCAGCGCTCTGGATATGTTGATGAGCTGCAGGCTTTCAGGCGTCTACTTTCACTTGGGGCCATGGTTGGCGAGGAGTCCCTCTTCTTCTGTTTCCTAACTATGACTCAATACTATGGCTGCGGGCTTCTTGAGGACTTGGTGCTTCGCGAACGTCTGCTACTTTCACTGTGGGTCTGGAGGATCTTCTACATTACATCATTGCCAGACTGAGATACGTTGATCAGAAACCATATCGTCTGAATGTATTTCTTATCGTTTTACAGTGAGTCTAATATTACAAAGCCACCAGCTCGTAAGTGTTTATAACCGGACCTCTCTCTCTCTCTCTGTTTGTACGCAAGCCCTCAATCAATGGGGCTGAGAATGCCGACACGAGCATCAAGCTCTGCTCTCGCACATGTCCGGAGCATACCACCTCACCTAAAGGAGGACGATCTCTGATCCCAAGCTTTGAACCTACGGCTGAGCTTCAGGCCCTTAAAGTTACCTGCAACTCCCGTCTGCCATCCGAAGCACCTTGGCTTCCATCGGCCCTGACATCGTCACAGCTGCTGCGCCCCCTTTCAGATTGCACGACGTTTTAAAAACTCGGATGTGTCGATCACGGGAGCCTGTGAGGGCATGGCTCCCGTATGATCCCACAGACGGAGTTTGGTCTTAATGCCCGTCAACATTAATGGGCCCTTCACTACAATCTCAGTCTTACTCCTGCTTCGACTAGGGAGTGGCGGATGCTGTTTCAACGGTCCAGAGTCTGCATTGCCACTTTCTGCCTCTCTCCTCCCTCCCCTCTCCGTCCCTCTCCCTCGCTCGCTCGGCTCTCTCTCTCTCTCTCTCTCTCGCTCTCTCTCGCTCTCTCTCGCTCTGTCTCGCTCTGTCTCTCTCTCTCTCTCTCTCTCGCTCTCTCTCGCTCTCTCTCTCTCTCTCTCTCTCTCTCTCTCTCTCTCTGTCTCTCTCTCTCTGTCTCTCTCTCTGTGTCTCTCTGTGCATCTGTTCATGAATGACTGTATGGTGTGTGCAAGCATGCATGCAGTATGATTGGATGGATGGTTGGATGGATGGATGGATGGGTGCATGGACACATGGACACATGGATGCATGGATGGATGGATGGATGGATGGATGGATGGATGGACCGTAGGATGGATGGATGGACGGACGGATGGACGCACGGGTGGACAGACGGGTGAGACAGGGTGAGAGAGATTGCGAATATATATATATATATATATATATATATATATATATATATATATATACATATACATATATATATATATATATATATGTATGTATGTATGTATGTATGTATGAACCCAGATGATACCTTTCTATGATGTATCTTCAGAGCATGACACGGAGACATGGAGACATGCCGGTATGCAAGCAGGCCCGACTAGTTATTTCCATATGCGGACCCGTGCACCCACATCATCGCGACTTCACCTGATCCGATTTCGGTCACAGAAACTTGATCGTCCCTGGTCCCTTACGGCCTCAACGCGAGCCTCCTCCTGGCCATGAAACATACGCGGAATGATAGCTCCTGCTTCAGGTTGGTTCGGGAGAGCATCGCAGAAGAGTGACATGGGGTGAGGGCTGCAGAAAGATGGACTGATGGAGACACCGGCAGACAGATCTGAGCGTCGTCTGGGATATCTGTGTCATCATGCTCAGCATGAAACCTCGACCTGGTGATGAGTCACTGCTCACGAAATGCAGCTTGAGTAGAATCGTGTCCTCGCTTGGCGCCATCACACGACCTGCATGCAACTGGTTGGGGTTGCTGATGTCCTACGACAGTGGCAAAATTTAAATGTAATAGATACAGCACGAACGTCGTAGTCCTTAAGGAGGTCAGTCGGCCGAACTCAAAATGAATCCGACTGCGAATATATAGAACGCCACAATTGAAATGGCTCCCACTGACCCGCCTTCTTGTTGTTGAGGGCGACATGAAGTCGCTAATTAGTTGCATGGTCGTCCAGTGCATATGCTCTCATGTGCAAAAGTAAAACAACATGTTGACCTGAAGCTGGAAAACCTGGTTTGAACACAAAGTTTCACACCAGCTGTGTACGCAGACACCCGGGCCGTGCAGTTATTTTAACAGGTACGTTTGCACGGCATACTGGATGGGTCTTCGTTGGCCCAAGCCATCCAGCAGCCCTTGGGCCCCCTGCAGATATAACAATTCTCGCTGAAAACATCATGCACAAAAAACAGGTGGAGCAAAGTTTGTCGCATGTACAGCAGAATGACACAAACAGGCCCCAGTGGGGCCACTGTCACTGTACCGTTTCATACTGCTCCATCTGAGAGGGAAACCTCAACATGGGGACACTAGAGCCTCGGAATTACGTGGACTGCCTACAGGCAAGACGACTGAAAGGAAACCTCAACCTGGGGACATTAAGCCTCGGAGTTACAAGGACAGCCTACTGCGCTTCAACTCGGTCATACTGCGCCACCAAAATGGCATCTGAGATAGTCCAGGCGTCGGTGTGGAATCAACTCACTGGGCCTTGCCTCCGCGACTGAATTGAACGCTTCAATAAATAATAACGCTGGTCCACAGACTGTTCCACCACTGTCTGTTCTTGTGGTGCAATAGATCTTCATCTGTATAACGTCCACAGATCAAGGTTCGACTGATGGGGAAACCTCAACATGGGGACACTAGAACCTCGGAATTACGTGGACTGCCTACAGGCAAAACAACAAAAAGGAACCTCACCCTGGGGACACTAAACCTCGGAGTCACAGGGACAGCCTACTGCGCTTCAACTTGGCTGAACTCTTTGAGCGGACCCCCGTTGAGCATGATTGCTGTGCCGTTTCATACTGCACGACCAAACTGGCCTGCCGTATAAGCTGCACGTCACTTGCACGTCACTTGCACATCACTTGCACGTCCATTGCACATCACTTGCGGAATAGATCTTCATCTGTAACATCCACAGATCAAGGTTCGACTGAGAGGGAAACCTCAACATGGGGACACTAGAGCCTCGGAATTACGTGGACTGCCTACAAGCAACACGACTGAAAGGAAACCTCAACCTGGGGACACTAAGCCTCGGAGTTACAGGGACAGCCTACTGCGCTTCAACTCGGTCGTACTGCACCACCAAAATGGCATCTGAGATAGCCCAGGCGTCGGTGTGGAATCAACTCACTGGGCCTTGCCTCCGCGACTGAATTGAACGCTTCAATAAATAACGCTGGTCCACAGACTGTTCCACCACTGTCTGTTCTTGTGGTGGAATAGATCTTCATCTGTATAACGTCCACAGATCAAGGTTCGACTGATAGGGAAACCTCAACATGGGGACACTAGAGCCTCGGAATTACGTGGACTGCCTACAAGCAAGACGACTGAAAGGAAACCTCAACCTGGGGACACTAAGCCTCGGAGTTACATGGACAGCCTACTGCGCTTCAACTTGGCTGAACTCTTTGAGCGGACCCCCGTTGAGCATGATTGCTGTGCCGTTTCATACTGCACCACCAAACTGGCCTGCCGTATAAGCTGCACGTCACTTGCACGTCACTTGCACCTCCCTTGCACATCACTTGCACGTCCGTTGCACATCACTTGCACTTACAGAACTACAAACTTCGACCACAGTTGTTTTTAGATTTGCCTGGATGCCGTAGGGCAGCATGTGCCGGGGCATGCAATTCCGCCTCCACCACCAAGTTTTCGTGGATGTGAATACATAGAGGGAGGGCTCGTGGGAGTCTGACGTCACAGACTGTCTCACCACTGTCTGTTCTGGTGGCGGAATAGATCTTCATCTGCAACATCCACAGATCAAGGTTCGACTGAGGGGGAAACCTCCACATGGGGACACTAGAGCCTCGGAATTACATGGACTGCCTACATCGTTCACGATCCATGGCAGCTTTGTGCAAGTGATCTCCACTATGATCTCCACTATGATCTCCACTGTGATTTCCAAAAGGCTGATCTCCACTCAGTGATTTCCCCTTGAACATGTTTGCGCAGCAAAAGCTGTCGCCATCCTACCTGATTTCCAGATCTGCTAACACAAGCACCCCGGTGGGCCGGCAACTTCGCCGAAAAGCGACAAGGCCCTCATGAGGGAGCTCTTGTCGAACACAATTGAAATGGCTCCCACTGACCCGCCTTCTTGTTGTTGAGGGCGACATGAAGTCGCTAATTAGTTGCATGGTCGTCCAGTGCATATGCTCTCATGTGCCAGAGTAAGACAACATGTTGACCTGAAGCTGGAAAACCTGGTTTGAACACAAAGTTGCACACCAGCTGTGTACGCAGACACCCAGGCCGTGCAGTTATTTTAACAGGTACGTTTGCACGGCATACTGGATGGGTCTTCGTTGGCCCAAGCCATCCAGCAGCCCTTGGGCCCCCTGCAGACATAACAATTCTCGCTGAAAACATCATGCACAAAAAACAGGTGGAGCAAAGTTTGTCGCATGTACAGCAGAATGACACAAACACACATGCCCCATCAACCGGATGCCGGCCGCGCTCAATCCTTGATGAGTCAGAATGCGAGCCTACAGATTAGCTGCGAAGATACGCCACCATGAAGGCTTTGCACCCAAGGCTTGAACGGAGCAGGAAGGATCGGACTTGTGCGAACAATGATTGACATTAAAGAAAGAATAGATGCCCGGCAAAAGTGTCTCCCGACTCTGCAAAGTTCAATGATACAATATTGCCAGCCAGCCGTTAAACTCTCAAACCCCACAGTTCTCTTCGTTTGGATTCTGGATCTCCTAAACCTAACACCCACCTAGGACCTGGCCCTCAAACATACCGTGACCGTTACACCTGCAAACCCAAACACCGTTGCACAATGATGTGGGCCTCCCGAATTTCACAGCTCCACGTCTTGGAGCGGCGTCCCAGGAGGAGCTCGCTTTCTATGGCTCGAAGTGGAACCCTTATGCGTGCTCTTATGCTTGCCGCGGGCGAGTGCAGCGGCCTCGCAGGTTCACTTATTAAGCTTATGAATCGGTGTTTGATGGTGAAGTGCCACCTATAATGCCCAGACAAGCTGCGGAAGAAGGCTGTAGTGATACTCGTTCAGAATGCCTGCTTGCGACTTCAACCAGAGTTGTTCGGAGCTCCAGCCAAGCGAAGAGAAGTCAGTCACACGCATAACGCAATCTCTCACACGTTTGCACACACTGGCACAAGTTGTGACGAGCCAACTACGGGGTTCGGATGAAATTCATCGCAGGGAAGAGGTGTAATGCAAAAGTTACCCCTGATTGTGCGCATGATATGTGCGTCTGTGCTTCCAGGGACACTGCATGGACTGGGGTCTTTCTCGAATTCTCCTCTCATCAGTCGAAGCTGTCCGCACGCACCCTGCAAACGCGCTCACATGCCGCAATGGCCGAGTTGAAGCCTGAGGGCAACTGCGCAGCAAGCACACACTGGTACGAAATTTCAGAAGCTCGAAGTTATCCCGGTGCATCCCCGCATCCCTGGTCCTTCCCAGTTCTTGCTGCAGCCCAGCGGCTGTACTCATCCGGCGATACGTCTGCGTTTGACATGGATACCTAGCACTGCGGTGATTGTTTTCGTCAGCCATGCCATTACTGTTGATTTCCGCTGATTCATCTTTTCCATCAAGCATGACAACTGCACTGCTGGGAACAGCAGACCTGTGTTCAACTCCTGCCAGCGGCAAAACTAGACACATATTCCCCGCTATGACATTTCGACGGATGCAACAGAGCGAGTCACAGCTCTTATTCTTGACCGAACAAGGCTATGAGCTTCTTGGTCAGACACGAAACAGTAATTGACGAATCTTAAAACCACAAACTCGACGGCATGTGCTGCACAGTGTAGCAATGCGAAGCACGGCCTCATCACAGCCCTGTTCGTTGTCAAGCTTTCTGATGACTTTGCACCGCAGTACTGTAATCGAACCATAAAATAGCATCACGCAGTCACAATTCTGAATCTGAGCTCCTAGAAAGCTCTCAAGCCGGGCAGCGAGAAGGTAGGAGGCCAGCTGCCATCGGCTACTCTTCTCACAGGCAGAAATTGCAGTGCTCCAACTGACTCCATCAGGAGACATCCTTCAGGGGGAGGTCATGTCACCTTGAGGCTACATTCACAAGACACTCAAGGTATCTCAACTGCGACTTTGAGCAGGATGTACAGTTGTTACCTCGCTGCCTTGAGAAGACCTGGGATAATAATCACACGAGACGGTAGGCTGAGGAAAGGCAATGATATTAGGCTTACACTCAACTTCGAACACAGATTGCAGGACTTGCTCTCCGTACATTTCACAGGGAAAGATCAAACGGACCATTTTCACCATCGATACGTCTCCCCATTCCGATGCCTACCCACGAAGCAAACACCAGTTGAGCCACCGAAACGGAAACGCACGCACACACACACACAGACAGACGGAGGTACAGCGACAACATTAAATGTAAATTACTTGACATCAGGTCTCCCAGAGCTACGCAGGACAGACAGCTTGCAAAACAGGATAATTACTCGAGCCCACACCTGGTCCCCGAGATGTTCTGTAGCAATGCCAAGGCGATCTCCCATTCACACCTCGGGCTGCTCCTACAGTAAGACAGGTATACATTGAAGTATGAGTATAGGCAGCTAATAGAGGTATAAGTATAACAGGAATGTACAACATGAGCACATGAGAATCTTGAGTGCAAGCACAAGTACGAGTGCCAGCTCGGCATTAGACCAAGTACCCGTACAAAGTACAAGTACAAGATTAAATACGGACAAGTAGAAACAGCAAATGATGTATGACGCCCGTATCAGTATTGATGTCCGCGTATTGATAGTCCAATACTGGTAGTAATTGGACTACCATTCGTATTACAAACAACGGCTGTTGGAATTGGTGCGGGCGTGCTGCATTTCAAAATCTGGTACAAACAGTTGGAACCCAAACGGCACTGCCAGCCGAAGAACGCATTTGCCGCTGCGAAAATGCCGGCGCTGAGACAGAGCTGATTTGGTTCCACGGCTGCCTATGCAGCAAGTCACAAAAAACCAAGGGGTACCTATGGTTTCGGGGTTCTGGTTTCAGATCAGGTGCTTGCAGTCTCGGATCAGGAAGTAGCAATTTCGGGTCCCAGTCTCGGCACAGTTGAGATGACTTTCGGGGCGCTGGTCTGTCAGTTTCGGGGTCGGGAGTCGAGGTGGGCCCTGATCCGAAACTACCCTGGCCAAGACCCCCGAAGCTGAACTCGAAAGCCCTGAAACTCGCACCTTCCAAAACCACTCTCTCCTACAAGTTTGAGGCCCCTGAAAGCCTGGCCTGCGGCATAGATGCCAGGAGGACCAGAGCTCGCTGCCACTCACCGGCCTCTCCGAAATTGAAACGATCGGTAAAATGAGCAACACGGCTGGGGTCTTCATGGTCTTTTGGCCGTTTACGATAATATGCATACGAAGGGATGTACCTATGGTTTTGATCTCACGTCGTTCCGAGACATTGGAGGCCTTGGACTGCAGTGGGGAGTTGAGTTAGAATATGGCTGGCATGATGGGAATGACGTCTAGGAATGCAAGATGCTAGTCGAACATACTGTAGAGATCTTGACGCAGTTTCTTGTATGAAAGTCGCGTACACTTCTTCTGAATTCCAGATCGCGCTGCCTGTCGCCGCTGGGATGGAAACATAGAGACGTACTTTATGATCTCTTTGCAACATGTGTTTTGCCCGCGCAATCTGGACACAGTGAACCATATGGGAGAACCACAACGAGCTTTGGGTCTACTTGGAGAATCTGTCTCAGGTTAAACAACTTCAGGCAACACGGAATTCGAAGGCACTCAGACTCACCAAGATGGGAAAAGTCGATTTCAGCTCCTCTGGAAGCAAAGACCCATGGATTAGGAACGCTTGGGGTTGAGGGTTGCAGCTGCAAGGAACTTGCGTGCAACTTGGACGCTTGTCCGCAGGATGTGATGGCCTTAGTTGGGTTGATATTCATGTGTTTTTCCATTCACCAATTTTTACAGGAGAGTTTGAACTTCCATGCGTTCGCTCTCCCACTGCATTATTGCATATCACGCCCCTTACTGGGGCTGCAGACTTGTGTGGGAATTTGTTGTTTGCATCTGTGGGTATTTTGTTTGTTTGCGGGGTGGGGGGGCCTCCTAGGACCTAGGAGGGAGGGACGGAGCCGAGGGAGGATGTTACGTGGTGGTCTTTGCGTTCTTTATTATTTTGCATAGCTACATACATATACATATTAAATATACCCATATATACATATATATATACATATATAGATCTATAGGGGTATTTATTTATTTATATATATATATATATATATGCAACGGTAATAAGAGTACTCAGAGCAGTAATAGTGAGAGTCCTAGGAGTAATATTATAGGAATAATAATGATCCTTGCTTCCTTCCTTTTGTCCTTCCTTCGAGAGCAAAGGACGAGCCCCCCCTCCAAAAAAAAATCCCACAGGCGCAAACAACAAGTTTCCACAAACAATTGCCCTCCTTAGTTGTGCCTTGCCTGGAAGCCCCAACTTAACACTAATGCCCGAGCCAGTGGAAACAGCCATACAGGTTGGGGGAATGATGAATGCTGGTCGCAGCTTCGGACCCTAAGCATGCGGCACATATGTGGGATGAAGCATGCCAGCGGCACTACCCTAACACCATCAGAGCAACAGTGGGAAAGTGTGACACTGGCGGCAGGTCATCCGTTCCGGTCATCTGGTTAGTTGCAGAAGCAGGTAGGCATACGATGGCGAGACTCACAACCAACAAGCAGAAGAGCGGCCGTGTCAGCAGCAGCAGCACCAGCACCAACATTACCAGTTCTACCAGCAGCAAACGCACGAACAAACGACCCGACTCCAACTCAGACGCCACCAGCAGCGCAAGCGGTATCACCGGAAGCATTGCCACCAAAGGAACCATCATCAGAGTCACGACCATCACACATCTTGACTCAATCATGAATTATTCTAGTACTAGTCATAATTCTCATCGTCACGATTATCATCATCATCATCACGAAAAGTCACTAACATTTGCGTTGTCGTCTTACCCCTCGTGTCACGTGCATGGCGCCACCACTTCCGCTGTCGCCGTGGTCATGCTTCTGAACATCAGTGCTGATAACCATTGTTGTGAGTCATGTCTGCCAAGATCATCATCAATGACAGCGTTCTCCAGCAACTACCATCCAGGCAACTTGGAAAAACGCCTAGAGGTGAAGCACTCGCAGCCGAGTTTCAGAGCTGAAGGAAATGGCATCAGTCCGCACCAGCTCTCCTCGGCATCAGTGATGAAGCCAGGACGTATATCAGTAAAACCCCATTTTGTGCTACGACGGCCTGGGTAAAAAAAGCCACAAGTGCCAAAAAGCCCATACAGGGAGCAATTCCAGCCCCAGTGTCCAGGCAGCTCTTCCAGGAGCTGCAGTGCCACGCGCCACTTTCCGACCTCTCGACAAAGTCTTCCCAAGGTCAGAGAAAGATGTATCCTCCTGTCTCAGGGAGCATTGACGGGGATCTTCGGGAACCCGCTCGTTCCAGTAGTTTCAGCACATCCAACGTGTTCCACAAGCGCTGAGAACTCAGCATCTGCACAGCTGCTGATGGCAGAGTTGTAGCCTCGGTAGCACACTGGATGGAATAAGGCTGCGGCTGTCAAGGCTTTCTCAAAAAACCTGTGACAGTGTGATGCAAGCCCGGCGAACGAGACCTGTTTCAGAGGTCTTGGACTTGCATTACTGGCATCGTAAAGTCGAGCAGCTGACATCGTTGGGTGTCACCAGTGCGCCTTTCATGTCTCCCAGAAGCGAGACGGCGTGCTCCCACATGCCTGCACTTCAGGGGTTGAAATCTTTTGTGGTGAACCCCTCAACCTCTGTGATCTGTCATCAATGTGTGAAACCTTGCTGCCTAATGCCTTTATGCGGGCACGTCTTCACTGACGACGCCATCGAACGTAGAAGCAGCATTCAAGACACTGTGAGCCTTCCTGTGAAGGCCGGTAGTGGCTCGTGTCTCAAGTCGGGCTCCAGGCCTGCTTTGGCACATGCGCCGAGTGCTGCACCTGATTCTAATGATCGAGAGCAGAGCGAGGGATCAGGACGCTAAAACTTCACGTTTCCATCCAGACTTTGCACCAATCGCAGCGGTTCAGCTAGTTTCTGCCACATGTGGAAACGATCCGCGAGTGCGGCAACAAACACTGGCATCTCAGCCTTGCTCCGAGAAGCCGTTGGCACTCACAAAGCGCTGTAGCATGAGAATGGGCGACAACAACACACCAACATGCTTGGAACACAAAACACGTCAATGCACAATTATCCCGAGCCACAACTGGACAAGGCCCGGGTGCCTCAGCATGTGTCATCTTTAACGATGCACGGTTCGGAAAAAAACGAAAGGGCAACCAGGAAGACATGTACATCTCTTGTGCAATAAGGTCCAAGTTGCTGAAGCTGTAGACATCTGGAAGAACCTGACGCAGTCGCTGGGCTCGGCTTTGGCCCAAACTTCCGTCGTACTTCTGGCTTCACGTTTCAGACACTGACAGCGATGTTTCACTGGCAGTCGCTGTCACAGCACTCGTCGTGTCGTCGCAGTAGGAGTCACCTTAAGTAGCAGTATATGGTACCGACCGTAGTAGTAGTAGTAGTAGCAGTAGTAGCAGTAGTAGCAGTAGCAGTAGCAGTAGCAGTAGCAGTAGTAGTAGTAGTAGTAGTAGTAGTAGTAGTAGTAGTAGTAGTAGAAGTAGTAGTAGTAGTAGTAGTAGTAGTAGTAGTAGTAGTAGTAGTAGTAGTAGTAGTAGGAGTAGTAGTAGGAGTAGTAGTAGTAGTAGTATTATTATTAGTAGTAGTAGTAGTAGCAGTAGTAGTAGTAGTAGTAGTAGTAGTGGTAGTAGTAGTAGTAGTAGTAGCTCCTGGTTAGTAGTTAGTCGTCAGTAATTCGTTGTCAGTAGCCAGTAATTAGTAGTTAGCAGTGTGCATATGTTTGCATGTGTATGCATATGTGTGTGTGTGTGTATGCGTATGTGAATGTGAATGTGTGCGTATGTGTGTATGCGTGTCCATGTGTATGTGTGTATGTCTGTATGTCTATGTGTCTGTGTGTGTGTGTGTGTGTACGTGTGTGTAGGTGTGTATGTATCTGTGTGTCTGTGCGTCTGTGTGTCTATGTGTCTGTGTGTCTTTGTGTCTGTGTGTCTGTGTGTCTGTGTGTCCGTCTGTCGATCTGTTTTTAAATTTGTATCTATTATCTATGCATGTATGTCCAGTGTACGCATTATCACGGACAATACTATATATGACGGGTGTGATCAGACGTGCGCCAACAACGTCGACAATGCGTATGTACGAGAACCTGCCGCAGCAAGATCGATCAACGATCACAACACACTGCCGCCACCAGCACATCACCGCCGAAATACTGTGTCACCAGCACCGCAATACCCAAGCATACACATCAGGACCAACAACACCATCAAGATCACCGTCATACGGCCAGGCCACAACGGCGATCTACATGATTCTCTAAGGCACCTCCACAGCTGGCATGGCGTGCAGGATTGTCAGCGACAGCCGCCAAAGAGAGCCCTCCTGCGGCTGCCAAACATCAAAACCCCATGACTTAGTCCAATGTTTAGACGACGGCATTTCCTGACCCTGATGCGGTCCTAGACCAGGAACCCTTACAGAATCTCATCTTCATTAATCGGAGTCTTCAACCTAGGATGTTCGGTAAAGGACCTAAGAAGTCTCGCCTCGCAGGAGGCCAGGACCACGTTCGAGCCGAGCCTGGATCCCCAAACAATGCCAAGCTACACGACGGTAGGACTTTCCGGCCGGATTCGTTTTTGCTGTCTTCCGGGTGCGAAATGGTGGGAGGGCATCACGGACTCACGCTCAGTGTGCCTGCGTGTTCACTCCGTTCCAGGCTTCCAGTCCGGTTTGCTAGGATCTAGAGTCGCATCGGCATAGCTCTTTAGTCCTTGGCTCCCCAAATCGAGGCGGACGAGCCACAAGTCTTGCCGAGCGTCCTTCCGGTAAGCTTCCTGCGTCAGCGAAATTTGGGTCTAAAGCTTCAAAGATTTAGCAGTCACAAGCTTCGCGGCTTGTGAGTCAAGCTCTGGATGGGTGTCTGTGAGCTGGGTCTCATTTGTCTCATGACGTGGCTTCGACTGACCGCGAGCTTACGAAATTCACAGCAGCTTGAACTATCACGAAAACTCGGCATCAAACAGCACGGACACTTCAACTCGACTTCCCTACCGGTATAGATACGTGGTTAGACATAGAGCAGTGGCAAGGGGGTCGAAAGAATTGAGCCGGCTGAGAGCCTGGAGTGTCTGAGGGCCATGACTTTGGATTACCGTAGCATGGCAGGAAATTGCCACACGCAGTTCCGCTGAACAAACTGGAAACGCCTCGAGGGGAAAGCAAGCCCCATGAAACCCCACCTTACATAGCCACCAGTCTCTCGGCGCTTCGAACGCGGCTATCCCGAACGCTACAGCATGATTCATGCATTGTCGTACATGCAGTGGGTTGCATGACCGGGGAACTCGGCCTGCGAAAGGAAGAGCACCATCTCCCACTGACTCTGTTGGTAGAGAGCGGACAGCTGCAAACCTGTCTCGGGCAGATGTCATCCCCTCACCGGTTGGGTATATGAGGTCTCCTGAAAGTTGTTTGTGGTCAGCAATGGCATCTGTGCCGGTGCGTGTGAGGAAACTGTGCTAAAGATGGTTTGAAGGCAGATCGGTAGCAGTTGTAGCAGTAATAGCAGTAGTAGTAGTAGTAGTAGTAGTAGTAGTAGTAGTAGTAGTTGTAGTTGTAGTTGTAGTAGTAGTTGTTGTTGTGGTAGTAGTAGTAGTAGTAGTAGTAGTAGTAGTAGTAGTAGTAGTAGTAGTAGTAGTAGTAGTAATAGTGGTATTTGAGTTAGTAGTGGTAGTAGCTGCGCAGTCGTTGTCGTAGGAGTGGCTGTCGTACCAGTACTACCAGTAGTTTGTGGCAGTCGTCGCCGTGGTGCCCGTCATCATCTTCGTCGTCGTAGTCACAGTCGTACCAGCAGCAGCAGTCGTCTGATTTGTCTACATGTTGCTTCTCCTTCATTGGATAGCATGCTTTCTTATTGTGTACATACGCATACATGCAGGCAGAGAAAACCGACAATAACACACGAAGACAAGCGAGAGTGAGAGAGGCATGGCGAGACTGTACACATCCTGCGGCCGATGTCCGAGCGACCAAACCGGGTTAATTACTGGCAGCGAGAACAAGTCCTGAGCTCTGGCCACCCACACTCCACCCACCGTGGGGCTGCATCCTTAACTCGACGCCCGTGAGCCGAACTGAGTCAACACGGCACCCATGTTTTCCAACAGCCATAACCTGATGCAGCCCGAAACAGAAAGCATCGAAATAACAATGCCCGCAGTGTACGGCTGGACAAGCGCAGGGCCTATCCGGAACGCGTCAGCCATACAGTCTCTAAGCCGTATTACACTGAGAAGCCAAACTTCGGAAACAATCCAAAACGTAATATCATGTTTTCAGAATGAACCAGATTGAGACACTGAAGGCTCGGGTAACTGAGGCCTCGAGCCGCAGCATCCGAAAGCGAGGCCTGTGCAGAGATCAGCGGAGGCAGAGGAGGAGACTAGGATCGAATGTCTGGGGATGCCGAATGCCTGGAAGATTCGAAGGTCGGAGGCACGAGACCTATCCTTACTTAGGATGCATTGCATACTGGAGCTTCGTGTTTAGCATATGTCTTGTTGAAGCCTCCGTCTTGTATTGGAAGGAAATGCAGAGCACTTGCCGTCTCGGTCACAACCAGCTCTTGAGGTAATATGCTTTGGTCATGTGGGACAGGAGGTGAGCCAGTGACATTTGTTTCGTTGATCTTGTCGATGAATGTGCGAACGGACTTTAACTCTAAACGACACAAAGAGCTGGCAAACGAAAGAAGAGCACATGAGGACCGCAATGACCGTCTTTGATCGCGGGCATAACTGTTTGACTGTTGATGATGGCAAGTACGTCACTGGTGAGTATAATACTGGTGCTGTTGATGCAGGTGGTGGTGAAGCTGATGGCTTCTTGGTGGCTTGATGAAAAACAAGAAATCAAAGTACTGGCATGACGATGAGGATAATGATGAGGTATTTTACGGCGGCAAGGCTACACCGACAAACGCGCACGCACACGTGCATGCACCCACACACATGCGCACATTGCCGGCACGTTGTTGTGACGAACGCGAAATCAGCTTCGAGCGTCGACTTCTACCGGTGCATGCTCTGCTGCTGGCTGCCGGTAGCTGTGAGACCTATAGCTCTGCTGCACCATCAACTCACGTAATTACACTTGGCCATTAGGCGTGAACGGTCTTGCCTTCGGCACCGAGTCCACAAAATGCATCGCTGCACGCCATTGGCCAGAGTTCATCCTCGGATCCAGCTTGTCGCCTGTTACCAAACATCCACAATGAACGAAGGTTGCAAGCAACAACACCGCAGGGAGATGCTAGCACAACTCGACCCTCTGGGTGCAGTATATTCGGCTTTGCTTGCATAGCCAGAGAGCAAGGCAGAGAACACTGTGGTGCAGCTCACCTTCGCATTGGCTTGTGGGCCACTTAACGTGTATCCGAGGATGTGTCTATCTGCCTAGCGATCTATCTATCTATCTGTCTATCTATCGGTCTATCGGTCTATCGATCAACTATCTAACTGTCTATTTGTCTAACTACCTACCTATCTAGCTGTATGTGCTTGTAAACGTGTGCGTGTACATACATGACACAACCATCCATCCATGCATCCATCCATCCATCAATGCGTGCGTGCATGCATGCATGCATACATACATGCCTACCTACATACCTATATATATATATATATATATATACCTGCGACCTGCCTCGGCGTTTAATAAGCCGGTGTCCGGGAATACATAGGTTATTCTCAGAATAAGTGGGAACGACTGGAAAGTCCAGTATGGATACGGGCGCATGATTACATTTACGGGCGTGGGGGTTTGGTGGTTTTCACTCGATGGTTCAAGGATGTGGTAACGGTGGTTTTGATTGATTTGGGTTCTTTGAAAGCTTGAGAATAAGATTGCGAGGATAGGGTCTAAGTTAACTCCGGCGTTTGGGCTCACGAGGTGCATTGCACAGCTCCTGTTGTGATGACACTGATCTTGAGTTGAAGAGATCGAAATACATTTCAGGATAGGTTTGGGGGCACAAGCCCTTCTCTTATTGGGGATGCTTTAGATATCCCAATTCCTCCGAAGATCCCATTCGAAAGCAAAGCACCAAAGCCTATGAGCACAAACAACCCTGAAGCCCCTGAAGCTTGGAACTCAGCCCAAAAGATCCCAATCATTTGCCTCGGTCTGCGACGATCCGCAAGCTCAGAGCCGTGAGCTCAGACGAGTTTGAGCAACAGTCTTTGTGGGTGTGGGACTTCGGAATAAGTATTGTGCTATGTAGGCTAGGATTAGGGTATGAAAGAACTTAAGGTAGTATTAAGACCCACTTCCACAAGCTGTCTTCGAATCCTCCAACTGATACTTCGTAGCAATAAGATAGCGCTCCATTGTCCGACGAACCAACAGTTTCGGACTGATTCTTCGGCTCAGTCTCGACACTCTGCCTATGAAGTCTTCGTCCTGAAAGCAAGCATAGCTGAGTGGATTTGTCGCGCTTTGCCGTTTGGAGGCCGAATCCAAGAGCCCAAGACTCAAGTGGTGCATGTTATGCAGCTTTGGAACCAGATTGTACTTGCACTCGCCCTTGTTATAAAAAATCTCCACCAACTTTGCATAGCATTGTAAAAAATGCAGGGATGCTTCTCCGGCTCGTTGTGCTTGCTCCGGCGAAAGCCAAAGTGGAGCCCGCAATAGCTCGCGCATGAAACATCCAACCGCCTCACTCGCCGAAGACATAACCTGCAACATGCGAGATTGAGCAACATCAGCTGCATGCTGCTGTAGAATCCAGAGAACGAAGCCCACCAGCGTTGGTGTGTCACTCGCTTTATTCCAGTGTCCTGTAGGGTACTTGCTGCTGGATGCGCACCCCAAAAGCTCGCGAGTGAGCTGTTTGAAGTGAACCTGTTTGCCAGTGGAACCACAAAACCTCTTCAAATCATCGTTCATAACCTGAAGTTTCTCCGGAAGGGTGTCGCCCTGGTACACTTGCTCCAAAAGTACCGTCAAGCTGCTCCCTGCGAAGTCCCTTCCCACCCCGAGGTGGTAAATATGAAGCAAGTCCAATTTGAAGAAGCTGCCGCGATCCTCTTGCACGTGTGCAGGGACGTGATTAAACAAGGGCGGCATGGTGTTCCACGGCAGGGCATTGTTCGCACCACACGTACTGAGCCAAAGTGGGTGCGAACCGAACTCTTCGAAGGGTATGTTCGGAGAGCCTGCCCCGCACATCCAGCAGCACCCCACCAGAGGCTTGCTCGAGGGCCTCTCAGGGGCCTTTCTTACATTCAAGAACGTGCGATTGAGATGTCCTGCTTTTGCCAAGAAAGGCAGGTCTCCCTTCAATCCCACCACTAAGAATCGAAGGACTCGCCCGTCAAGAAGCTGCAAGCCTTCATAATACAGGGACTCGAGGCTGCGCATAGCTTCCACCATGAAGGCATCAAAGACATCCAAAGTATCACGATACATCTGCTTCGGCATCACTCCAATCAAGAACCTGGTGGTGAAGCTGTGGCCTTGAAGGTTAATGCCAGTCTTTTGCCCAAGTGGATGCGAAAGCCGAGACCCAAATCCCAACACGGGCTGAAATTGAATGACCATCAACTCATCCCGCTTGTAGGTGCGGCCTCCGTCCCCGTGCACATATAAAGGAACTAAGCAGCTGTAGTCGATGAAGTGCCCATGATCGAAAACTTCGTGGGTTGGCTGTTCCCCACGGAAATGCTCCCAGAATTCGGCCAGTCGAGAAGAGCCTAATTGAAGCAACACATATGTTTTATGGAGACCCCTGTAGCCTAACCGGTGTTCTTGAAAGGGCGGTATTCTCAGGTTAAAGATTTCTATATAGAAGACTAGTGGCTAATGCAACGGTTTACTACATATAAAAAATCCTAAAGCAAAATAAAACTGAACCCTAAAGAAAACTTTCCGAAACAGGTCTGTGGGGCTGGTGCTGACAGATCCACCTAACAACTTGTTCAGAAAACCTTCATCCCGAAGAGTTCTGATGTAATCAGTTGGCAGCAGCATTGGAATCCTGCAGTCGTTTGATAAGTCCACATAGCTCAGTGGAACATCGAAGCTCAGCCCCCATCGTTTAACCACAGCTTGCAGTGATTTCTCAGCATCATTCAACGGAGCTCGCGCGAGATCCTTCAAAGCTTTGCACGAAGAGATATCACCAGCAAAGGCCTTGGCGATGGTCGCGACGTGCTTCGCTGTGGCCTGGGCGATGAGGTAGCTTTCCGGGACGGGCATGGTGGGGAAGCTTGGGTTTCATCCGAATCATGGACACGCTCCTGCAACAATGTCTTTTGCACGGATTCTCAGGCTTCCGCCTAGCTCTTCGAATTACATGCACAGCATCCCAAACTTAGCCTGCCCATAGAGCTCTGTTTAGTTTTGGGCAGTGCGGCTCGGGATTCGTAAAACTATACATGCGTGCATAGATCAAAGGCCTAAGGACTAAGGTCTAAATTACTTGACCCATCTAGGTAGGTCCGCCCGTGCAGCAGTACAGTAGCAATAGTACGGGGGCACGAATTTGGGATTCCCCATTTTGTCTCTCATTCCTTCTCCACCCAGCACAACGTTGCGGCATTGTTGCAAACCTCTATGATGAGAGATCAAAGCAGCCTCGAGCATCTCAACGAAACCAAGGTCTGAACTCTCGAGCATGATCAGCATTTCAGTCCAGCCGTTTCTTGCGTACAGCTCAAATCGGTCAATGTAGTGGTGTGTAATGCCAATCTTGTAAATGGCTAAGGATTCCCCACCAGTCCTCAAACGAAGCTTCTGTATTGCGTTTTGGCAATGAGCAAGGACTTTTCCTGCTAGGCTACCATGAGGAACCAAGTCGAAGCTGATTCCAGTTGCCCGTTTTGGAGAATTTGGCTGCTTTGTGAGCCTCTGCTCCACAGGTTCCGACGGCTGCTCCTCATCTGTGCTTTCGCTGTCCGAACCCCAAGGAAAGATGGCATCCAAAGTTCTTTTGCGCTTCATGGGCAAGGAAGGTTGTGCTATTCGAACATAGGTCGATCAGGATCACTGTTCTATTTGGGGATATATGCTATTGTGCTTGATGTACCTACACCTACAGGTTCTGCTTCTAAAACAGCCTAGACACATCGGAAATTGGTCATAGATTTTGAAACCCTCGAGCTGTAGATTTCTTGCGGTCAGCAGGCAAGCAATAGGAGACATCATCAGCATGAACTCGTTCGAACAAGTTGGATTGCTTTGAAAGCACAAAGCAGCAGTTTCGAAATTTAGATCCTGAGCGGGCTGATGGCTGAGGCTTCGGCGCCAGATCCCAGAGTTCTCGCCAATGTGTGGGCCCGATCAGTTACAGCATCCGTCCCACCTGGCTCTTGTGCTTTTGGACTAGAGAGCTCAATTATTTCGCTATAGCTGGGATGTGGCTGGGACGGCTTCGAGATTTAGAAAAGGCCTCCTGGGCTTGAGGATTCCCTAGCCCCTGCAGTAAGATCTCAGATACATAGATTGTAGACGGATATACACCAATAGGACTAGGGTTTGGGGTCTCTATTTAGTAGATTTCGACTTACCGATCACGGCTTGGGCTCGGGGGCTGGGGATTTTAACTTCGGCCAATAGATCAGCTAAGGTTTGAGGGCTTCGACAGGCTCGGGGTCCTTTGGTTTTTATTGGTGACCTATCGCGTTTCAGCATCGAGGGCATGGGAGATTGTGAGGTACAGAATGTTGACAGAGTATTATCGGAGACTCTCTAGACATACGTCTTATGCATACAAGGACTGACAGAATAAATGCTTCTACTATGAATGGATCCAAGCCATCATGTTCGACCGTAGCTTGATCACTGCATCCTTTTCCCGCGGGACACGAGCTGGGATCACGGCCTGATTGTCACTGACTTCCTGCATTTGCAGCCCCATCACTCTTCCACCTCTAAGAACCCGACTGGACCAAAAGGGTAAGCTCCAAAACTCTTAGAGCCCTAGAAGACCCGACTAGACCATAAGAGTAAGGTAGAGTAAGCTCCAAAAACTCTTACAGCCCTATAAGACCCGACTAGACCAATAGAGTGCAGGACCTGCCAGTGCATATCAATCAGGTCATAACAACTCTCGGATCCACAATCATCGATGTGTATCCTCCACGATGCCTGTTCCCCGGCCAACGCAGCTTAGAGCTGTCACTTGCTTGAGCATCGGAGATATTGGTTTTACGGTTTAGGGGCTCCATAGCTTTGCCGTGCTGGGATTCAGGTTTTAAGGATTACATTGGTGACGAAGGCTTAAGTGAACTGGTTATGACCTTTACACATAGAATCTGATCTTGCTCCAAATTTGCGTTGGGAAACTACTCAGGCAACTGAAGACAAGTGGTGATAAGTAGCAAGGATCTTCCCT